TGGCAACGGCAACGGCAACGGCAGTAAAGATAAGCACACACAGCGACAACTCAGAACTGGGAACTGAAAACTGGGAACAGAATGGAGCGCATAGGAAGAAGAAAAAGCAGCAGCAGCCGAATAGACAAGTTTATGCAAGGCTGGCGGGGCATAGGCGGACGGGCGGGAGCAGGCAGGCAGCGCCATAAATGATGCCAAACCAGCAAGTCCTCTCACCTATGCTTGTATATGTACTATGCAGGTATTTATGGCTGTGCGTGTGTGTGTGTGTGTGTGTGTGTGTGTGTGCTTGCCTTTGTGTAACTCTCCACCCAGTTCTCAGCCTCATCAACATCATCAGCATCATCATTATGATCAGCTGCAACATCATTAATGCAACGCAAGGCAAAGCTAAACCGCAAGCAAAAGAAGTTGGGCCAAACTGCAAAGTCGCATTTGGAATGCCCTTACCTACACACAAGCAACGGCAACAACGGCAACAACAACAAGAACAAGAACAAGGAGCATGCATTCAAGCCGCACAGCAAATGTGGAAAACATAGAAAGTCAATAACATAGAAAACATTTTCTGCACTAAGTTTATTTTTTTCTGCATTTCGTTCTTAGTTGAAACGAGCGAACGAGCGAGCGAGCGAGCGGGCGACTGAGTTAGTTGCTGCTGCCGTTTGGGGTTTTGGATGGGAGCATACGCAGAGCGCAACTAAAAGAGAGGCGGACTTGGGAAAAGAGCGCAGAGCGCAGCGTATACACGTGAAATAAATGCAATTACCGCATTCAATGCGCGTTTGTGTGTGAGTGAGTGAATGAGCGTGATACGTGTGAGTGTGTGTGTGTGTGTGTAAGCGTCGTTGCGCGTGTATGTGTGCAAGTTTTATAATTTTTCTATAGTTTTTTTATTACAAGCCTTTGGTATACTCTGAGCTATGAGTGTGTACAATCACTTTGACATGCACGTTGATAAGCTTTAGAAGGAAGTTCCCGTAGACCTTATCTCTTTTTTTTTTTTTCGTTTTTAATTTATTTATTTTTTAACAATGTATGCACGCTCATGCAAAAACTACTCTCGAGCAAAGTGGAAATAATTATTTATGCACTTAAATAAATGTATATATTTAATATTTATATACATATTTTATTGCAGCCTAAACCAGTTGTTCTTGATATTAAATTAAATGTTTGATATTCTATAGATTCTGATTGAATCAATTATAACTAAATATTGAACTTATATAAGAATCTGTCAGTGTATTTAAGCTTCGATGAGCCGCATTGAAAGGCTCATTCTTCTTCCTCTTCTTCTACTTGTTATTTTATGCGTTCACAAAACTTGAGAAGCAAAAACAAAAACGAACGACATTTTCTGTATACGCGTCGCCGTCGACGTCAACGTCGCCGTTTGTTTGAACGCCGTCCGCCCGCTTGCCCGACCACCCGCCCCGCTCCATCTACCGTTTTTGCAGCTCTGCTGCAGCGCTGCACTTACTGTTGTTGTTTTATACGTTTTCTTGCACAAATTATTTTTTTTTTCTTTCTTCATATGCATTTTGATGTGCGTGTGCGAGTCGACGATGTTTTGTCTATGTGTGTGCGTGTATGGGCGAGTGTGTGTGTGTGTGTGTGTGTGTGTTCGCCTCGGATCAAATTTGTTGAATTGTTTATTTAGTACGCTGTCGTTGTTGTTGCGTGTATACATATATATTTTTTCAGTTATTGTTATTATCGTTAGTTGCAGTTGCATTCGCTCTCAACGTTTGCTTCGCTCGCTCATTCGTGTACATTCCGTCATTTGCTGTCTCTTTCATTTTTGGTATTTGTAAATTACATAAATTGTCTTGGACTATAAATTACGGGAAGATTATTATGGATTGCTGCTTGCATGTGTGAGTGAGTGTGTGTGTGTGTGTGAATGTATGCATGTAGGTAGCTGTTGTTGGCTTGGTTCGGTTTTGGTTTCGCTTTGCTTGCATCGATGAAACGAACGCAATAACCACAACAACAACAACAGCAACAATGTGTTTTTTATGCTTTTATAGAGATCTGCATTTAATGATACTCTGCCACTCGCACATAGTTACACATGTACATATACATATGTGTGTGTATGTGCGTGTGTGTGTGTGTGTGTGACTCAGAGCTATCGCGAGGATGGAAATGGATATGGTTATGTTAAATAGCAAGTTTTGCATGTGTCGTAAAATGCCAAGCGATGTTTTTTCTGCTGCTGCTGCTGCTGCTGGCAGCCAGACAAAGGCAGGGCAAAGGATCATTAAAAAATGTTGTAATGTGCACAGCGCAAAATGCCTTTGAGTATGCGCCTTTTAAAGCGCTCAGCTCTTATCGGTCCAACTAGATTTGCAATTGGGATGACAGTGTATGCGAAAGTGCCCAAATCTAATTGGATCTATGCACACAAGCACACACACACACACATGCACCTACACAGGCAGATTCCAACTGCTTGCATTAGTTGACAGCAGCGCCTGATTAATCGATTATATTAATCGATGCATGTGCCTGGCTTAAATGTCAAATTGCCTGTGTGAGTGTGTGTGTGTGTGTAAGTTAACGTTAGATTCGAAGACGTGACAAAATGGCGCAATGTAAGAAAGTTATTAGCTAGAAGAAGCATGAAAATGCGAGGTCATTGAGCTGAAACAAGATATGAAAAAGTGGAATAAATAAAAACAAACTGTTATATATGCACAACTGTTATATATGCAAGCAATTATCTAGAGTATATTTAATGTTCAACCCCAATTGAAAATTTGTAACAATTATAAAATTTCACTTCAATTTCAATTCATGCATGTGCTTGTAGATTAATCTATGCATAATATCTATGTATCAAGTCACTGTATGTGTGTGTGTGTGTGTGTGCGCGCAAAGAACAATAAGCAAATACATACATGGACAACAAAAAATTCTCTTGGCATTTTCTTGAGCATTATCAACGTAATCTACGCCGCTTGCCAACACACGCACGCACACACACACACACACACACACACACACGCACTGATTTAACGTAACTATTCCAGTGGCTCAGCTCAAGTGAGCATAGTTAATGGCAAACAACAATAAGAACTAGCGAAAGAGACAACAAAAAAAAGAAGCGAATGCGAGGCAGCAGCACACATGCACACACACACACACACACACAAACAAACACGCGCGCGCACACACATGCGAGCAACAGCAGTAATAATAACAATAATAAATTGAAGAGTTAAACTAATAACGAAATATGCACACACACACACACACATATGCACACATTCATATCTATAGCTCAATATAGTGTTTGTATGTAAAGTAAACGTCACACATACACACACGCGCATATATTAAATACATACATACCTTTATTTAGTCGAAATTGCTATTTATTTGCTTCTTCTTCTTCTGCTTTGCCGTGCCTATGGGTTTCTTGTTGTTATTGTTGCCGCCGCTGCTGTTGTTTTTTGTTGTTGTTGTTGTTGTTGCTACTTCTCCGTTTCTTTTTACTTATTAGTTTTTTTACACAAGCAGAGAATCAATTTGGAATGTTTAAAGATACTTTTTATTGTTAATGTACGTTTTTCTTTGTATTTTCTTTTTTTTTTTTGTATGTTATGTGCCGTTTTTCTTGTTGGTGCTTACATAAATTTCGTTGCGTTTGCAATTTGAATTTGTTCTTTTATTTTATTTTGATTTTTTTGCACCTGCACCTTGCCGTATTTCACATCAAATTCATGTATTTTGTCAGTGACTGACAACAAGCAATAAAATAACAGAAAAAAAATACACAATTGGTTTTATTTAAATAAAAAATAACATGCACAAGCTTTGATATGAATTAATTAATTTTCACAAATCTCATTGACAAAACGGTAATCACAATTCAAAAATGCGCTGTTGCTGTTACAGTTATTTTGAGTCAATTTACGCAAACTGCGACGCAGCGCAGCGCTAAACACAAGACGTCCGCTCACCGCAATGACCTGACAAGACAAAACAAAAGCATAATAAAATACAAACCAACACAAAAAACATCAGCACAAGCAAATGCACTGTACAAGGTCAGTTGTTGCATTGGGCACATTGTTGGCGCGCTCTGAGAGCGTGTAACCTGTGTAACTTATGACGTCACGCTCACCAGCCCGCAAGATAATTAAGGCCTTCAAGCAAATCATTTGCAAATTTTAAAACATTAGTATTATATTAGTATGTTTCAAAACGACTCAAATATGCAGTGCTTTGAATAAACTAATGTTTATTGTCAATCTGCTACATGTAAAATATATACAAACAGCTGATGACGTCAATTCAATGTTTAGCTCTTGGCACTACCTTATCAGATTACACTGCTGCAAGCTCTTAATGTTAACGCGCTGTTTAACTTTATTACTGTTATGTCTGTGTTAAGCTCAGTTGGTTCTGTCAATATGAAAAAATCAATGTATCGATAACAGAGCATGGGTGAACTTAGAACGATAACATGATACCAATTGTCTTTTTAACAGTTTATGTTGAGTGCCTTATGCTTGGGCAAATTTTAATAACTAGCCACAATTCAAAAAAAAAATAATTAATTGCATATGTCGCAAGCAATACACATACATATATTTGCCTTGTAATGAAATGGGTAAATGTGCACTAGCACAAGTGCAGCACCATATGTTAATGTGCGTATTTCATAACAGCACGCAAAAAAAAACATGTTATATAATTGCTAAATAAATAACAATCAATTACATAACACATATTTATCAAAAAAAAATTTGATTAGTTAAATAATTTGTAAAAATTTCTTATCGATTCGCATAAAATGCAGCACTGGATGGAAAATGAATGCGCAGCAACCATGCCGGCTAGTTTTGACAATTGGAATGACGCCCCCTCGCTACCCGAACAGACCGACCAACTGGAACTCGCTGAGCATAACAGTGCCAAAATGAGCAAACAGCGCTTCCATGCGAAATATTGGTGCATGCGTGTTCCTGTGTGTGCGTGTACGTGTATATCGTGGAAATGGCTTCCAATCAGAATTTGGAAGTTTTTTTTCCATATTGATTAGTTATATGTCGCTTTTGTTGTTTACTCGCCACATTTTTTTGGTCAGTTAAATTGTGTGTGTTGTGTTTTGCAAAAGACGCGGCAAATTGCGCGAAAAATTACGCAAAAATACAAAAAAAAAAAGAACGCAAAAAAATAATATTAATAAAGCGTAGCAAAAGAAGTAGAGGGGAAGAAGCAGCAGAATAAGAAGAAGAAGAAGAAGAACAACAACAAGAAGAAGCAAACGTTAGGCGCCATTTTCGCATAAATCGCGACCCAGCGATACACAGAAAAACACCCTCGATGTCCGCGGGTGTGGGTGGCGGCGGAGGTAGCATAACCACAGATCATCATAGCCGTTTATATTTTCTTAATTCGCCAACGGCGCCGCTTACCGCCCGCGATCCCTTCTTCATCAAGCCGGAATATCTCAACTATGAGAATCCCATGCACCATCTCTATCCGAGCAACAGGGGCCTCATAGAGTATAACAGTTATACGACAACAGTTGCCGCCGCTGCTGCGGCCAGTGCGAGTACAGGTGCCGCTGCTGCAGCCGCTGCCGCAGCCGCTGCCGCCGTCAGTAGTAACAGCAATAGCAGCAATAACAATAATAACAGTGCTAGCAGCAACAACAACAACAACAGTGCTAGCAACAACAACAACAGCAACAACAACGCGAACGCCAACGCCAACGCAAGCAGCAACAGCGAGAACAGCTTCCAGCCACATCCGCAACAACATCCGCAGCAACAACAACAACAGCATCCGCAACATCCGCAGCACACACAACAACAACAACAACAGCAGCAGCAGCAGCAACAACAACAGCAACAGCAACAACAACATCCACAAGCGCCGCATCCCCTGCACCAACATTTATCCACCGGCATCGTTGTCACCGGCGTCGCCCTCGGTCATCAATCGTCGCGGGCACAGAAGGCGGCGCGACGGCGCAGCAACGAATCTGTCGAGGCACGGGAACGACGTCTGGAACGGAACGCGGCGAGAATGCGAGACAAGCGGAGCAAAGAGTCAGAGGACGAGTATCGGCTGCGACTGGCCAAAAACGCCGAGGCGAACCGCGTCCGACGCCAAAACGAAAACGAAGTACAAAGAACCCTAAGACTGATGAAGAACGCCGCCCGCCAGCGACTGCGACGCGCCAGCGAATCGAACGACGAGCGCAAAAAGCGGCTGGCCAAGGCGGCCGAACGGATGCGCGTCTCACGGGCGAGTGCCCCCAAGGTGATCAAGCCGCCGCTCGAGGATCGCCTCAAGGGCTACTAAGGAGGAGAAGCAGCAGCAGCAGCAGACGCAGCAGCAGCAGCAGCAGGAGGCGGAATCCAATCAGACACCCGTACACGACACCCATACACAGACGGGCCATATGCACGCCTAAAGCCGAATCCAATCAGAGCGCAATTGGAAGCTTGTGAAGCGGGCTTCAGCAAGTAAAGTGCATTCACACACACACTGACACACACACAAACACACAATAAGAAGAGAAGGGACACACACACACACGCACACAACCGAAACAATACAACACAGAATCTAATCAAACGATATCTAATCAGAAAACTGGAAGCATACACAAATAGCAGCAGCACCACAAGAAGAAAGCTGAAGAAGAAGAAGAAGAAGAAGAAGCTAGCAGCATATGTGTGTGTGAGCAGAGCAGCAATAGAAAAGAAAGAGAAAGAAATGAAAAGATAAAACAAAAATAAAAAAAATAACAGCTATAAATAATATATATTGTATACATAAAACAAAAGAAGCAACATATAACATTTACATAGAAATGTGTAAAGAAAACAGCAACAACAGAAATAAGTAAAAAGAAAAAAAAGTAAAATAACAACAATGAGTAAAATGAGCAAAATAAGCCGCATAAAACATAAATATACATAATAATAACAACAAAAACAACAACAATAATACTAATAATAATAATAATAATAATAATGATAAAATGAGACACTTTTTTTTTTTGGTAGCTAACAGAAAAAGTGTCGGCAATTTTTTTTTAAGTTAACATTAACAAAGATGAAGTAAAACAAAAAGTAAAACAAAAAGAAAAGAAAAAAAAAAGTATTTTTATAATGCATGCATTATATTCTTACAATATATAAATATATATATATATATAGTTATATATATACAACACACAGAATAATATATAGATACACACACAAACACACACACACACACACACACACGCAGTCATGTGTAAATGTATGCACGTCTCACACACACACACACGCACGCATATGTGCGAGATACACACATGTGGCGCAAGAAGAAGAAGCAGCAGCAGCAGCAGCTCAGCGCGAGAAACCCCAAAAAGCAAAATGAAAAAAGAAAAAAGTAAACTTCAACCCCATATGCACACACACACACACACGCACACGCACACGCCCACACACAAGCACACCCATACGACCACACGTGTGCATATGTGCGCCGCAGACAGGGTGACTCAATGCACAGAATTGCAGCGAGCGCAGCCAAATTCGTCTTCTAACTGTATTGCCCACTTCCAATAAGCATTTTTTTTTGTTGTTGTTTATTTTGCTTTGTTTTGCTTTTATTTGTTTTGCTTTTTGGCGTTAGGCCGCTGCAACAGGTGCGACATCTTTCGGTCAGTTTTGCAAGCTGCGCCTGGTCGCGTTTTATTTTTGGCAACAAAAAAAAAAAAGACAATTTTAACAAATTTCAAACGCATTTTTAACCCTTAGTCCAAAACAAGCAACCCCCAGTATGCGGGGGGGCATGTATGTGTGCGCGCGCGTGTGTGTGTGTGTGTGTGTGCTGAATAGGAGCAATCCACACACGATTATGTGTACATACACACGCGCACACAAACACATGCACTAACAGACACCCACATCTATATACACATATGTATACATACGTATATGTATATGTATATGTATATGGCATATTGTTATAGCAACATTGAACGCCTCCCAGCCCCGCCCACCCACAATCCCCTCCCCACTCTGCACAGCGCCCAAAACTTTTGCGAATAAAACAAACAAAAAGAAAACAACAAAAAAGAAAAAAAAAATATGCACCCCCAAATTAACAAAAAAAAAAAAAAAGTAAATAAATAAAAGAAAAGCAACATTAAAAAGAAAATGCAAAAATAAATATATATCTATTATATATATTATATATTAAACGTACCACTTAAGTTCTAGTCGAAATTTCAAATTGTTTTTTCTTACTCTTTTAACGAGACCCTAACCCGCCCTCCTTTCCCCGTACACGCAAAATTGTTTTGATGTGAAATTATATGAAATACATTTTATGTAATTGTAATATTCAATGTACACTTAAAAACCAACAACAACAACAACAACAACAACAACACACTTAAACAAGAAAAATCAACACAAGAAGCAAACGAAAAACAAAATGAATACTTGAATAAAGTTGCATTCACAATTTTTAAATGAAATATGCATTTTATATAAATTATGCTCGAATTTTGGCGATTTATAATTGCAAATCGATAGCTGTGGTAAATTTGAATGTGCGCGCGCCAATTATCGGTGTGGGTCGTGCCTATCGGAATTGCGCGCAATATTTTCCGATAGTTATTGGACGAGGGCAGCCGCGCTTATCGCTGATGCTACATGTATACATACACACACCTACACATCCAGTTTCCAATATTCCAGTTGTATTTATTTTTTAATGTGTTGTTGTGTGCGTTGGTACAGAAAACGGCCAAGCATTTTGCTTGCCGGAAAATTTAGCGCGTTTTTTTAACATTCGACGAAAACAAGCCGAAATTCATAAACAATTGAGCAGAACACTAAAACGCCATCAATGTACCAAATTGTGAAACTAAATGCCGAAATATGGGAAACTAAATATATATATATATACATACGTATATATATGCATGTATAATAATATGCATACGGTGAACACATTTAAATAACTCGAGTGTATGCGTGCGTGTGTGTGTGTGCCTGCGTTTCACAAATGCCGACAAGTTGAAGCGGCAAAGTGTTAAACAAATCAATAAGCTGCAACTGATGCAACAATTGTGGCAAAACGCTTCAAAATATTTATAAAAGACAATATATGTATATATGTATGTGCGACATACAGACAGACATACGTGTGCGTCTGTATATATAGAGGCCGCCGTTTGCTTTAGCTGTGTGTGTGCGAACCAGCCAGGCAGTCAGTGTGCGTGTTTGTTTGTGTGTGTGTGTGTGTGTGTGTGTGTGTACATATAATCATGTGAAAAATCGATTGGAAGTCACTGGAAGCCGTATAGTCATTGGAACGGCACAGCGGCGGCGGTGGCGGCGCCAATTGTCATTTACTATCAAGCAAGAAGAAGAAACGTGCGCACGCACCAAAAGTAGCAACCAAAAAAAAAGAAAAGTAAAGAAATAAAAAAGAAAAGCAAATAGAAAAGGGTAAACCGATTAAAAACGAAAATAAAGCAAACACGCAACGGCACATTTTTGCACATTAACATTAAATAAAAAAAGCGCAAAGCAACATTTGCGCTGAGTCTGGTGAAAGGTGCGCAATTTCGTTTAGCTGAGACCCAAACCGTACGTTTTGAATGCCATTTTGTTGTTGCCATCAGTATGAATATTTTGTTCTCTTCTTATTATTATTATTATTATTACATTTACATGTGCAGGCGGCGCGAGGCGACACTAGCAAGAGCAAGAGCTGGCAGCCAGGAAAATTAGCTGAGGCAGCGGCAACGGCAACGGCAGCGATCGACATTTAGAAGCATATTGCAAATTGATTGACAAGCAGAAGAGGAAAAAAGAAAAAAAAAAAGGTGATGCGCAAAACAGAAACCGAAACGGCAACCAACAGTCACACCGATTGCGAGAGCGACAGTAAGCGAGTGTGAGAGAGAGAGAGAGAGAGCAGCAACAGCAGCCAAAAGTTGTTAAAACGAAAACGCACAAAACAGAGAAAAAAAAAAAATAGAGACACACACACAGATACACATGATATGCATGTGTGCATGTACGTACAGAGCGATAGCGATTACGATAACGATAATTAAGCGCAATTTCTTTATATAACACACAACGAACCAAAATTGCGAAGCAGCAAACAAAACAAAAACGCAAAACAACGCAAACGCAAACGCAAGCAAAACGAGAACGGCTGTTAAATGCGGCGATCAAAACGCCAACGTTATTGTCGACCGAGCAGCAAAAGCAACAGCAGCAACAGCAACAACAACAACAACAACAACAACAACAGCAACAGCAGCGAAAGTTATCGATATCATCAACAGGACGGGGATACGCGTATCGCTGTTTGTTGACTGGAAGCGCATTTCAACAACAATCGATCAAGAAGCAGCAGCAGCAGCAGCAGCAACAACAATTTGACGACAATTTCGATTGTTGTTCAGGCTTTGCAAAATAATGGAACCAGATCCCAATGGGATAAAGATAGAGCCAACACTTGACCATCACCAACATCAACAGCAGCAGCAGCAGCAGCAGCAGCAGCAATACGCGACGCATGTGCTGGCAATAAATGGTCCCAATGCGCGCCTACTTATCGAGCATCCGTCAGCGCTGTTGGTTCCATTGTCGACACATCAGCAGCAACAGTTGCAACTGCAACAGCAGCAACAGCAGCAGCAGCAGCAACAGCAGTTTCAGCAACAGCATCAGCCACAGCAGCAGCAGCAGCAACAACATCATTTACAACAGCAACAATTTCATCAGCAACAATTGCAAATAACATTACCCGCTTACACACAGCCGCTATCCCTAAAGCAACAGCCCCCGCCCACGCCGCTGGGACCCGCCTCCAGCGTAAGCAACGTATCAGCCAATACACAGCAGCAGCAACAACAGCAGCAGCAACAGCAGCAGCAGCAACAACAGCAGCAACATCATCAGCACCAGCAACGGTGGAACGAGAGCCCGGAGGCACGTCAACGCCGTTTGGCCCGCAATGCTGAGAGAATGCGGGAGAGGCGACAGCGTGAAAGCGAAGACGAATACCGGAAGCGTTTGTTGCGCAACGCGGAAGCAAATCGACAGCGACGCCAAAACGAATCCGACCTGGAGCGTGCGATGCGCCTGGTCCGCAATGCGGCGCGGCAGCGTCTGCGCCGCGCAATGGAATCGCCCGAACAGCGGGCGAAACGTTTGGCCAAACTGGCGGAACGGATGCGCATGTATCGGGCCAGCGAGACGGCCGACCAGCGGAAGATACGACTGGCCGAGATGGCGGCGCGTGCGCGCCAGCGCATTGCCAGCGAGTCCGTGGAGGAGCGCAAGGAAAGACTGAGAAAGCTGAACGACTATGCGAAAAAGGTCAGAGAAAAGAAAAAGATATACAAACAGGTGCAGGTGCAGGTGCAAGTGCATGCAGGCGTGCCACAGAATTCGTCGTCGTCTTCATCGACTAATTCGACCAATTCAAACACACTGACCGCGCAGCAGCAGCAACAGCAGCAGCAGCAGCAACAGCAACAACAACAGCAACAACAACAGCAGCAGCAGCAGCAGCAGCAGCAGCAGGTGCTTGCCGTGGCAACAGCAGCTGCTGCCGCCGCCGCCGCCGCTGCGAACGTAGCTGGCACAGCCAATTGTAATAATGAGCATAATATTAATTTAAATCAGGCAAACGTCACAGCAGCCACTGCTAACAGCAGCAGCAGCAACAACACCACCAGCAACAACAACAACAACAACAACACAACATCATCAGCAGCAGCAGCAGCAACAGTTGCCGCCGCCGAGGAGCAACAGCATCTGGTGACAGCGGCGCCAGCGTCCGCCTATCAACAGCATCAGGCCATCGAGTATATGGGCCAGAATATGTTCATAACCCCTGGAACGCTGCGTCCCGCCATGCAGCTAAAGCAGGAGCCGCAGCAGCAGCAGCAGCAACAACAGCAGCAACAACAACAGCAGCAACTGCAGCAGCAGCAGCAGCCGCGCTATTCGCTGGGCGCCCAGCAGCTGATCGATGGCGTTGCCGGCGGCAGCGGCGTTGCGGAGCCGGGCAGCATATTCGTGCAGCAGATCTACGGCGAGGAGCCGGGCAAGGCCGGCAAATTGCTGCAGGCCCATGTTCCGCACTTCAGCATTGCCAACCAGCTCGAGCTGTACAAGCAGAAGTATGCGAATATGGTGGAACTACAGGTGCGTATGCTGCCGCCGTAGACACAGACAGGTGCGGCGGGGTTCAAGAGGCAAGCCAACAAACAACAAACAAAAACAAATCAAATCACACACAAGAGTGAAAGAGAAAGAGTGTAAGAGAGAGAGAGAGAGAGAGAGAGAGCAGCCAGAGAAGAAGCAGAAGCCAAGCTCAAGCCAAAGTTTTTTGTTCCCCTATTTTGCCATTCATTTGTTCCATTTCGTTTTGTTCCCCGGCGTTGCGTTTCGTGTGAATCTAAGAAAGAGAGAGAGAGAGAGAGACACGGCGAGAAAGAGAGAGCAGCCGGAATAGAAGTATAAAAAAGAAGAAGAAGCAGAAGCCAAGCTCAAGCCAGAGTTTCCCCCAATTCCTTTTCTTTTTTGTTCCATTTCGTTTTGTTCCCCTGCGTTTCGTTTCGTGTGAGAGTGAAAGAGAGAGAGAGACACGGCGAGAAAAAGAGAGCAGCCGGAATAGAAGTATAAAGAAGAGGAAGAAGCAGAAGCCAAGCTCAAGCCAGAGTTTCCCCCCATTCCTTTTCTTTTTTGTTCCATTTCGTGTTGTTCCCCTGCGTTGCGTTTCGTTTCGTGTGAGAGTGAAAGAGAGAGAGAGACACGGCGAGAAAAAGAGAGCAGCCGGAATAGAAGTATAAAGAAGAGGAAGAAGCAGAAGCCAAGCTCAAGCCAGAGTTTCCCCCCATTCCTTTTCTTTTTTGTTCCATTTCGTGTTGTTCCCTGGTTTAAATTTCTGTTGAAGATTTGTAGCTACAGTGAAAGATCGCTTCAGTTGTTTGTTTTTTTTTTAGTTGTCCGAAATACTTGAGAAATTTTCCTAAACATTTTTTTGTTAAAGTTTAAAAAAAAATGTTGCTTAAAAAACCTAAATTTTGTTAAAAAAAAAAAAAAAAAGTCGCTTTTAGTTTGTTTCAAGTTTTTCTGCGGCCCTTTTTAGAGCTCACGTCCAATTTTGAACTATGATTCGTTAGAGAAGGGTTTCGATTGAAACCAGAAAAAAAGAAGAAGAGTTATCGTATAAAGTCCGCTTCCATTAAAACATTAAACATAGTTAGGAGCACAAAATAAACAAAGTTTACTAATTCTCTAGCCCAAATGCAATAGTTGACTTTTATTTCAAATACAAAAAGAAATTAGGAAATGTGAACATTAAGAAGAAGAGAAAAAAACAACCAACTTGAAAGCCAATTAAAACGTTCAAAATACTTTCTAAATGTGTCTTCAATTTGATTCCAAGAAAAATAAGGACTCTGTGCCCTGTTTCTGTCTAACTGTCTGTCTGTCTCGCTCACACACAGTTCCCTATTTATTATTCTCTTTTACTGTTTTCCAACACTGAAGTAGAGAATTTGGAAAAAAAAACCTTTCTGGTAGAAAATATGTTTTTTTAACTAACAAAAATGAAAACTTAATACGAAATGATCTTTGTTTTTAATATTAATCATTTTCACGAACTTAAAAAAACTCTATATTTAGCAGTGTTGGATAATAGAAAACAACACACTCAAAAACTCTATATTTAGCAGTGTTGGATAATAGAAAACAACACACACAAATATAGATATAATTATATTTATTATATATTATTTTGTATAGAAACAAGAAAAAAATGACTCCGATTTTCGAATCTGTTAATAGCAAAAGTTCAGGCGTTCGTTACAATTTCTTTGGTTAGGCGTGTGAACATAGCCTCAAAACTGTTCTGAAATTGTTCACACTGGAAATTGCAAGTTTGAGTTTTCTTTAGATTCTCTTTGGGTTTAAACTGTTTTGAATATTGTTTGGTCTATAAAAATGCTGGGAAATTTACGGAACTGGTTCACATAGCTTATAAGGCAATAATTGCTCGAAAAATTAAGTTCTTCTCCTCCTCTCCTCTTCTGTTTTGTTCGCAGATATCTTAAATTCGTACTACTATATAATATTTTATTTGTGGAAAATCGTATACCATTAACCAAGACGTTTGGACTTTCGTTCGTAGCTTTGGTATTCATATATTCAATAGGAATACATATGGCACTTATATATACATATGTATTCCTATTGAATATATGAAATTTAAATGCATGCCAATTGTATGCAGGGGAATTTTAGAATTGGGCTCTTAAAAGCCAATTTTATTGGATAAAACAAAATACAAAATTTTATGAATTTGCTTAGTAGAATTTATGCCTAGTTTTCCTCAATGTGTTGCCTATTGGCTGACTAGTTTTGCATACCAACTGCACACAAACGTGTAGGGTATTAACACATGCGTCAATATTTGTATATCTAAAGCTGGCGCAGCCAACTTAATTAGGTCTCGCATATTGAAAGAAGCAGAGTTGAACGCAACCCACGTAAAAAATTGTATTTGATTTTGATTTAATACCCGGAACTCTTGAAGGCAGAAGGAATACTCTCTCCATACTCTATATCATAAAAAATATATATATATTCATGATCAGAAGACTTCAGATTTAGGTTAATCGAAATAAACGTTACGTTTTCTTACGAAATCGATAAGTATCGATATTCGGACGGAACTAGAGACACCAAAGTCTGGTTGGAGGTTATCCTAAAGGATGCATAAGAAACGAAAGACTTCAAATTTGGCCCGCTCAGATTGAGATTAGATCGTTAGCCCGCTCTTTTACGAAATCGATAATTATCGATTTTCAGACTTGGTTTTTTGAGCATATCGCGAAGCTTTTAAGAGCAATAGACAACAAAGTTGTGGTTGTAGGTTATCTGAGCGCACTTTTTCCACATTTTGGATGCTTTCTACTTTACCCGAAAAAAAATAAATATATATATATATATTTTTAAACTAAAAGTATTACATATAGATCAATAGAAGGGGAAGAGCCAAGGAGGAAGTATAAATGGAAGCTAGGCTGCTTGTCCAGGGTATCTGCTGGTCGGCTACGCCCGACTAGAGCACACTTGATGAACATAACCTCAACCGCAGCAGCGGACATAACCTCACATAACCTCACATATTTTTCCCTTCTCTCTCTCTCTCTCTCTCTCTCTCTCCCTCTCTCTCTCTCTCTCTTTGCCGCTTTGACGCTTTACCCTCGCTTGCCTTTGCAGTCCGGCGAGGCGACCGATAACAGCGGGTCTGTTACTCTGGCCCAGAACGAGGCCAAGGTGATCGTGGCCGCCGCGGAGCAGCAGCAGCAGCAGAAAGTACTAAAAGCGGGACAGGCGACGGCGGCGGTCGGTGGTGGCGCAGGAGGAGCGGCGGCAGCAACAACAACCACGCAGCAGCTATACAATCAGCTGCCGTATTTGGCCACGTTCCCGGCGACGGCCAACAGCAGCGGGACGAGCAGCGCGGGCACGGTTACCGTTACGGGCGCAGGCGGTGCCGCCAACGGGGGGGCGGGCAGCGCAACAACCGCCTACTATCCCATGTATCACAACGGCTTCCAGCTGGGCATCGGACCGAACACGGTGCCGCCGCCATTCACGCCCGTGCACTTTGCCAGCGCCAGCGGCGGCAGCAGCCCGACAGCGTCTGGCCAATACAATATACTGACCACGGCGGCGGGCGGAAATGCCACGCTGACAGTCGGACTGGAGCAGGCGCCGCCCCAGCAGCAGCAACAGCAGCAGCAGCAACAGCAGCAACAACAGCAGCAACAACAGCAGCAGCAGCAGCAGCTGTTGCAGGAGTTTCCGAAAATGGGACGCGGTCGTCCGCGCAAGATTAGCCTATTGACCGCCAACGAGGAGCATCTGAAGGCCAACACGCTGCTCGAGCAGGAGCTCAACCAAATGCTGGCCGCGCCGCATCTGGCGGGCAGCGGCATGGGCCAGCGACGCGGCGGACGCGGTCAGTCGCTGGAGCATGGTCACATACATGCACATTCCACGGCCGATGGCGACGGCGTGGTGCCGTCGCCGCTGTCGACGCCGCGACGCAGCGGCGCCAACAAGTACGAGACGGAGGAGGAGAAGCGCATACGGCTGGACAAAATGGCGGCGCATCAGCGGGCGGTCCGCGCCAACGAATCGCCCGAACAGCGCACGGTCCGCCTGCAGAAGCTCAGCGAACGGGCGCGACTCAAACGCGCCCAAATCCGCGCCACCGAGAACACGGAGGAGCGCAAGGAACGGCTCTCCAAGCAGGCCGAATACGCCCGATTGCGACGCATGCGCAGCCATACGCCGCGCACGAGCAGCAGCGCCAGCGCCGAGTTCCATGCCAAAACCGAGGAGGAGGAGGAGGAGGAGGAAACAACCGAACAGCTCTACGACAACGACACCGACGGCGCCGAGAGCTTTGTCGTCAAAACGGACTCACAGCTCGACGGCGACGGCTCCAACGATCAGCAGCTCGCCGCCCTCCAGCTGCAGCAGCAGCTCCAGCAGCACGAACTACAGCAAATGGCGGGCACCCTCCAGCAGCAGCAGCAGCCGCATCACGAGACAATTGTCATCAACCAGCAGCAGCAGCAGCAGCAGCAGCAGCAGCGATTGGTCAGCCTCAACCAGCATCAGCAGGGCTACAGCAAGCTGCAAGCCTCTGCTGCGGCCGGCGCCAGCGCGGGCAGCGGCAGCGGCGCGCCCGAGAATAACGATATGCTTAAGATACTCGAACCGATAATTGTCATGAAGACCAAATGAGTATCGCGAAAGCGCCACGATGCGCCCACAAAAAGCTAGACTAGACTATATATACATATGTGTATATATGTATATATATATATATAGAGATAACGGTCTATATATACACACAAATATCTGGCTGTATTTTGGGCTATTGTTGGCGCTGAACGCGCGCTGCAATGTGCACAAAATTGTTGGATGGCAACGAAACAAAAAAAAAACAAAACAATTAAATCTCGTCTGGTCAACAACACACACACACACACACTCACCCCCCCCTCCCCCCCTCCCTCACACATACACACACACACACATCCACATTTCTTGTAGCATATATATAGAATATTTCTGTGTATTGAACGCGTTTGTACAAAGTGAGAGCAAAAGAGAGCGAGAGAGCGAGAGAGCGAAGAGAGAAACAAACAAAATGATATCCTTAAGGCGCGCGCGTTCTATATTTAATTGCTAAACTAAAAATATGTATATATACATATGATATATATACATATACAACTAACTATATACAATTATGCATATACTATATTTATATATATATATATATATATGTATGTATTGTGTATTGTATTTGTTTTTACATTTGTCTTATATTTTTTTGCTCGATTTAAATGAACTTAACTGTTTAACTTGTATGCGTACTTTAAGGATAGTGCAATAGCTATTAAAAAGAGAGAGGAAGAGCGAGATAGAGAGTGCAATAACGTATTGTACATACAGCTGAATATGTATAAAAAAAAGCCATCATATCCATCATATACGATGATGGCTAACCAAAAACAAAAACAAAAACAAAACAAAAATTCAAGAAACCTAATACAAAAACAGAACGGAACGGAACGGAACAGTGTGAGAAACGAAACGTAACAAAACGCACCGACATAATGCAAGCAACACAAATACACACACACACACACTCACTCACACACACGCATGCACTATGCGCATACATTAGTTGTTGCAGCTAGAAGAAAAGAAGAAAAAAAAAACAACAACAAAAGAACCCAAAAAAAAAAATAGAAGAAAAAAAATGTATGAACATGTATTTGCATCTAAAATAGGTTATAGAAATTGTAACTTTTTTGAATTTTTGAAAGTGTAACGGTCCGTCAACAATTGACCGCTTAACCATTTTTTATGTAATGTATTAAGCAACAAACGAGAAAAGAAAAAGAAAAGGAAAAAAAATGAACAACTAAGCCTAAATAATTCATAACAATTTGTAGCCCATAACAAGAAACGAGCACTAAGTAGAAAGTACGTATTAATTTTTTAAAGTAGCGAAAACAAAATAAATCTAATAAGAGCATTAAGAGAACATTCTGCCTATCGATAACTAACTATCGGCACTGTGTGACCAGAGTGTGCACAGCTGTTTATTTCTTTAGAGATCTTTTTATTTTTTTGTATATATCTTGTTTTCGTCGCAACCATGCAGTTCAAGACGCTGCACAGCGTGGACACCGAGTACTCGGCCGACGCCGTGGAATGGTGCGTCCAGGACGAACGGCACGAAGGCTACTTCGCCTGCGGCACATATCAGCTGGTGGAGGGCGAGCACAATTCACCGGCTGGCGATACGCCGCGCAAGGGTCGTGTCTATTTGTATGCGTTCGACAGGCATATTGGCGCGCTGCAACGGCTGCAGTGCATCGAAACGGCTGCCATATTGGACATGAAATGGCTGCCCGCCTGGTGCTCTGACACCGGACCGCTGCTGGCCACAGTCAACGCCCTTGGCCAGCTGGAGATCTACGAGCTGCTGCATGCGGAGCACCAGCTGCAGCGACGCGCCCAACTGGCGCTGGAAGGGAATACGAAGCCGGCGCTAGCACTGGCCCTCGACTGGCAGCGTGTTGATGGCGGCGCTGCCTTGCAGCTGCTCGTCTCCGACTCGCACGGCAATGTACATCAGCTGCAGTACACGGCGCAGGGTCAACTCAGCCAGCTGTGCGTTTGGCGGGCGCACGGCTTTGAGGCTTGGACATGCGCCTTCGATCGATGGTCACCACAGCGCGTCTATAGCGGCGGCGACGACTCGCTGCTGCACGCCTACGACTTGCGCGGCGGCGGCCCGACAGCGGAACCACAGCGCATCTGGACAAATAAAGCGCATGGCGCCGGCGTCACCTGCCTGCTCAGCCATCCGGAGCGCGAGCACCAGCTGCTCACCGGCAGCTACGACGAGCTGTTGCGTGTGTTCGACACGCGTGCCATGAAACGCAGTCTCGCCGAACTCAATCTGAACGGTGGCATTTGGCGGCTCAAGCCGCATCCCCAGCGCAGCGATCTCATCCTGACCGCCTGCATGTACAAAAACTTTAGCGTCGTGCAACTGAAGGACTCGGCGGCGCTCAGCCTGCTGGGCACCTATGAGGAGCATTCGAGCATTTGTTATGGCGCCGACTGGGCGCCAAATGTCGACAAATTGGAGAATGTCGCCACGGATCATGCCCAACGGCTGCACATGGCCACCTGCTCCTTCTATGATCACAAGCTGTGCGTGAGCAGCGTGGACATCAAATTCGAGATGTTGTCAAGCCAGTTGTTTATATTGAAATGAAGCAATAGAAAAAACATGTGCCAGTAAAAGCAGCTAATGAGCACTCGACTCTCTTGATGATTTGTCATGCTAGGTGTCCTGCAAGACACACTGCATGACTTGTCCTTGAGTGGCCGCCTTTTTGACCCACTCAAATAGAGCGGCCAAAGCAAAAAAAAAAAGTCTTGTTAAATATATTAGATTATAACTGCGCTTTTGAAAAACTAAATGTCTTGCAAGACACACTGCATGACTAGTCAGCAATGTTGTCTTTGATGGAAAACAAAAAAAGTCTTTTTTACAAGTGACCTTTTTCTATGCTATTTAAATATATGTTATAATAACTGCGCTTTTGAAAAAACATTTGTTCAAATTGACTCACGTGAATTGTATTCGTTGTCTTTTAGCCGAGAACTTACACTTATGTACATATTTAATTTTATATATGTACATATTTTATGGTATAGTCAGATATTCTACTAAAGTCCTGCTGTCAGTCGAACGTCAACTGGACTTTCTTTGACGGACCTTGCATGTGACAGGTCTGCGAGAATGTCATTGAGCCAGACAGAACGGATGACATTCTGCTTCGCATGTCATCGAAGGTGACATCTTCTGTCTATGTATGTGCATGTCGTCGAGGCAAGATCTCAATATGGAGACAACTACACAAATTTTGAAATTCCCCGCCCTTATTGTCTCCGAGTCTCCGACTTTTTGGCTGATCAAGAATATGTCTGCGAAGATCCCCCACCCTTCTGTATATACCATACAGTTGCATTGCATCCTTTTTCACCAAGGTTGGAAATGTTTTTCGAAAAAAAAAAAACAGAAAACGCCCAATTGAAAAGTTATCGTAACCTTCGTAACCTTCGTAACCTTGCATTTGCATTTCTTCAGTATATCCTTTTTTGGCCATCCGTGAATGGTATTAAATAAATACCGAGCCGATAACTTTTGGTGCAGTGTCTTCTGCGCGTGCATCGAAATCTATCGGCAAGTGCATTGTGCTGCTGTCATCGAACGTAGCGCGTTTCGAAAAGATTAACCTTCAGTGTTTGTTCTTGCGTGAAATAATGGCAATTATGACTAATAAGTTGGCACAAATTGCCGATGATCTGGATGAGATGCAGCAATTGATTACCGAAACTACCGACTATCTGCACGAGATTGGCGAAGCCATCGACAAATGGAAAAATGATTTAACCACAAACGCAACTGTCTTCGATTACAAAGGCAAACTCTCCGAGCTGGTCGTGAATCTGGGGTATATCCATGCTGAGCAAAACAAACTGCAGGCCGAGTTTAAGGAAATCGGTGCGTAGCATAACTTTATATGTATTTGTTTTTGATTTCTACTCAGAGCATTTTATTATGATTAACTGCTTTAGAAGAGGGCAAGAATATTGCCGCTATGCTGCCAGAACTGAAGGATAAATTCCAACAATTTGGCTGCAACCTGTTGCTGGGCCACAATGCGGACAACAATATCCACTACACGTTCGATTTTGGCGAAGGGCGCTGCATTACCGTCAAAGAGCACAATTTCCAATGGTTGCTTGTGGAGTGCACTTCGCAGTTCCTGGATTTCAATACGCTCAAAGAATATTTAAACAAGTCCCAGGATATAATTGGGCTGCTAGCTGTCGCTAAGGAAATGATTTCCGTAGCCACATACAATTAGGCTGGCATATGCATATCTATTTAATTTATACAAATCCACAAAACGTACAAATCTCTAATCAAATACAAATAACATATGTACAATTTGCTGGACAGTTGGCAACTCAATTGTTGTCGGATCGTTCCGATGCCAGCTATATACGCTATAGCATTAAGATAACTTTGAAATGAAATTATACTCGATGTACGATTGATTGTTCCTAAAAATATCTAGTTGTAAGATCCAACAGGGTTCCACAGACATCTTATCACATCTTATCCTCAGCCTTAGAAAATATTTGCGATGTCCGTTTGGAGATGAGGTAAACTTTTACAGGCCCTATCAAAGGGATGCCCCTCCAAAGGGCGCATGCCAACAATCTGCCATCATTTAAATAGACTATCACACAACAAATGCGATATAATATTTAACTATATACATATATATATGTATACTATCTATATATTTTCTATAACATACCTGAAGTATATTCAGAACCGAACGATTCTAGAATTTGATAAACCAATATAAATCCATAAATGAGGCGATTCTGATTTATAAAAAAAGAGCCCAAATTTGCTTACAACAAAAAGAAACTGCGTACATAAGATATTTAAAATGTAATTGTTAATATAATCGATTGTGAAATAAATGTTTATATCGGGCGATCACTGTAGTTTATGTATCGCAACCGGCTCAAAAAGTTGATGAAAATAACAAAATGCATTTGTTTTTAGTATGCGGCTAATTTTGTAATTTTTATAAAATATGTATGTATATATATACAATATATATATATATTGTATATATGTATGTTGATATATATACTATATATTTTAGTTATCACACGCTTTAATCTATTTTCATTTCTTTCACTTCTCAGAATAACAAGATGTAAACAACGCCCAAACGCCCCTCCAAAAGTGTCCACTCCTAACATTCTCGTGGTCTACGCGGCGACCACATTCTGTATCCAATTCAAGGCGCCTCGGATGCGACGCAGGCGCGCCCGCACCAGAAAGCTGCAGATGAGCAAATACTCAACGTAGGCATGCCGTCCGCCCGGCTGGCAGCTGTTGGCATTGCCGCCTGGCTGTGGACGGCCCTCGCACATGATCTTGGTGGTCAGCGAGAGAAGCCACTGCAGGATCTGTATAAGTGGTAACATTTATAGATTAGATCCATATGGTTATTGTTATTATTCGTATATTGTTACCTCGGGACTGTTGGGCATGCCGCCAGCCTTGAGCCATTTGGATGGCGCCCAAAGGAAGAGCTGCAGCACATTGGCCGCAATATCGGGACTGACACGCTTCGATGGATTTGGATTAAGTATATTGTAGATGAGCTGCTGCAACAGCGGCGGACACGTGTCGCACAGTGGCGGCAGCTGCTCGTGCCGATAATCGTTGTTCCTCAACGAATAGGTGAGCTCACCCTGGGCACGCGCCATGCCGCCGCTGGCCGAATAGAAGGGATTCGGCTGGCCAAAGATCTCGTAGGCCAATGCACCGCACGCCCACAGATCCGCTTTGCTATAGTTGAGCACGGCAAACGGACCGGGCTGTGTATTAAAGATCTCAGGCGCCATTAATGCCGCATTGCCGCCCTTATCAATATCATTGGCGGCATAGGGCAGACGCAGGCCATGGACCTTGTCCGCCAGGCAGCAGCCAAAATCGGATAGCACCAACAGCGGCGACTGATCATTCGGCTGCAGTTCAATAAGCACATTGTCCGATTTCAGATCACGATGCGCGACACCGTGCCGACTGAGATGCGTGACCGCCTCCAGCATTTGGGCCAGGAGCAGGATTTTGGTCCGAGAGCTTAGCTCATTGGCATCCAGCAGGCCGCGCAGACTATAATCGTAACGTTTCATTAGCAAATATAGCGACATATTACGACCATAGCCCTGCGGATTGATGCGCTGCGGCTGGGCAATCGGATAGAGCAGATGACCATCGGTAAAATTGCGCACCTCATCGCAAAAGAAGCCAAACATACAGACAACATTCGGATGGGGCGGCAGCGTCAATGTCTGATGCTGCAGCAGGCGTTCCCATTCCTCGGCGCTGGCATTCATCCGTCGCTGACGCGCCGGCACCGTCTCCTTGTACATGGCGCGCAATATGGACAACGCATTGCTCTGTATATCATAGTTGAACATCATCTTTAGGGCAAGGGGATAGCGCTCAATGGAGCTACATGCGGCCGCAGCATGCAGCTGCTGCTCGTGCTCCTGCTCCTGCGTGTAGTCGCTGCTAGATGCCGTTCGATGCTCCTCCTTTGGCTGACCCGTTTGTCCGCCAGTTGCCAGTCCATCGACAAAGGCGGCGGCAGCCGTTGGCTGACTGTAGCTGTAGATGTTATCAACGGAGCCGCCAAAGTTGTGCACAAAACGCGACATATTTTGCAGCGGTGACATTAGCTCGTGATGATTCCATATGGTCGATTTGTTAATTGGCATTTTGCCAGCCGCATTCGGACGTGCTGCATCCTCGGAGCTGGGCATGGCTTGTGCTGTTGCGGTATTCTCCTTGAAATTGGCCGCATAAACAACGGCCGCACAGCCCTTGGCAATGGGTGGACCCACCTCCAGATGATCAATATTGAAATTGCTGCTCAACGTTTCGGATATCTCGTCATGGTTCCAGGCCGCCTGCAGGCGACTGGCCGCCTCGCGTATCTCCCAGCAAACGCCCTCGAGCTCATCCTCTTTACTCAGCACACCCGACCCGGTGGCCAGACTGACGCCAATTAGTGCAAAAAACGGCGCCGAATCGCCGTAGAATAGTTTGCGTGTTGCACGCTGACGCAGCTCCTCCGAATAGTTGGTCGTCACACGGCTCAAGATGTTATCAATGAATAGCTTGCGCGCATGCTGTCCAAACCGAAAGAGTCCGCCATTCGCTGGGCTGGCCGCCGCCGGGCAACAACGTGGCAACACATTAGCCGTCGGCTGTGGTGCGGCTGTGTTCTGCAAAACAATAAACCAATCTATTCAATGCACATATATTCAGTATGTGCTACGATGACACTTGCCCACAAATTCTTGAACCTTTCAATCACAACTTTCAATCATATTCAATCGCAGTTAATTGTATTTTTACTGCGTTGAAAATAATTAGCAAATTTATTTATAGAGAAGAAAGAGGGCACCTTTTTCAGATATTTTTCAACTGATTGAACTGGCTAATTGAACTGATTGATTGACTGCCTGACTGACTGCCTGATTAGGCAAGGCTAGGCTAGTTTCCCTTTGAACAGGATTTTTCTCTATTATTTCTATATGTGCAACTTTTTATCCAGATTCATTGATTGATTGACTGACTAAATCACTCAAAAAAATAGGTTTTTTTTTTAAACAAATTATTTAACAATGGCAAAGAGACATTTACAAAAATACTTAGCCCGCACAAGGACGTGTAAATATTGCTGGATTATAAATGAAAAATGTCTATCAAACATAGAAAAATGCTCAAAACAAAAAAAAACATTCGATTTGTGAGGATAACACGATTTCTGTACTCACTCGCACTTTCGTGTGTGAGCGCAACAAGTCTATTGCTGTCTCAATCTTTGCTGTGGAAAAGCGGCCATTTTTTGCACTTGTGCTCAGTATGCTGTTTACAAGTGGCAAATGTCATGCGTAGCATAATTAAAGCGCATCCACTCACCCGCAGAACATTGACGGATGTTAGGGGAAAGCCTCGCTTGCTTCGTGTCTTTAAATGGCTTTGTTCCAAAATGTTGGAGTGTATTTCACGATTCCAATAGCTTCGTAGAACGTAGCGACCATGTTTAACCAGTCGCACGGTTAACAGTCTTACAGACATTTTACCAATTGCAGTTCGAACTTATTTGTTGTTGTAACCCGGACCAACAACAGCCGCACCGATAAACAGTAACGGAGCGAAAAGCCTAGCGATTGAAAGAGAGAGAGAGAGAGAGAGTGGAGGAAGGGATATATGATACTGTTTTTTTTTTTCATATTTGCAATGTGCTCACCTTTTTATTTTGTCTGGCCTACGCTTTTCTTGTCCTTGTCGCTGTTTATGACTGCGGCGCCACCTTTTGTCATGCGTTTCAGTTGTGATCGTCGGCTATCGATATATCGATCGTTGGCTGCCTAGACTGACGATTGTTTGGTATTGCGTCGTAGAAATAGCCGTCGTCACTGCTGTTGTTTTTTTGTTTTTTTTTTGATTTATTTATAAATATATACGTATGCACATAACTACACAGCCAATATGGTAATGGTTTCGAAATGTAAATGTCTTCAAACTTGTTCTCAATATTTTTTTTACAATGTGTATGGAAGTTTCGATTTTGTTCTATGGTCAGGGACTGATAATTTTTTAAATCTAACTCGCCTCGTTGATTGATTTTCCGGCTGCCACTAGACGTTCGTATTAGTATGCGTGTGTGTGTGTGTGAGATTGTTCGTGTGTTTGTTTTACAATTTATGTACGTTTCGTTGTTAACAATTTGTTAAACATCGATATTATTAATGGTCGATTCTTTGCGTTTGAGTTTGCGGTAGGAAATTAGATAATCACATCTACAACATACCGATGGCCCTTTAAATACTAAAAAATCGCTCGCAAAACGTAATTTAAAATAATAAAGCAGAAAAGAGCCAGAAATTTAATTTGATTTAGCACCAGACTTTGATTTTGCGTCAATTTATACAGTAAAAACAATGTGAAATTCACAAACACAAACAGCTGTCAGTTTCGTTGCGTAGAGCTGCAACATGCAGTAACATCGATAGTTATCGATTGTTTCCCATTTGTAACATAACTAAAATATATCGATAGGCCTTTCACTGAAGCAACTTTTGAGTTTTATTCAAATCGTCGATTTGAAAGTACACAAACTGAACACACATTTACTTGGGACCCAACATTTTCTTGGGATCGACCCACTCCTTGAACTGCTCCTCGGTGATGCCAGCCTTGATGGCCTCCTCCTTGAGTGTGGTGCCATTCTCATGCGCCGTCTTTGCTATCTTGGCCGACTTGTCGTAGCCAATGTGCGGGTTGAGAGCTGTGACCAACATCAGGGACTCGTTCATGATCTTGGAAATACGCTCACGATTGGGCTCGATGCCCTTCACACAATTCTTGCTAAAGTTGACGCTGCCATCCGCTGCAAGTGGAAAGGTTTGAGTGTTTGCAACTGCAGATGCCCTACAACTTGGTTACTCACCGAGCAGGCGTATGGAGCGCAACACATTGGAAACAATTAATGGTTTAAATACGTTCAGCTCGAAGTGTCCGTTGGCGCCGCCCACTGTAACAGCCACCTGGTTGCCCATCACCTGGGCACAAATCATGGTTAGAGATTCGCACTGTGTGGGATTTACCTTGCCCGGCATTATGGAGCTGCCCGGCTCGTTCTCTGGCAGCTTTAGTTCACCGAGACCGCAGCGCGGTCCGGAGCCCAGAAAACGTATATCGTTGGCAATCTTCATCAGACTGACGGCAATGGTGTTCAGCACGCCGTGCACTTCAACCATGGTGTCGCGCGCGGCGAGAGCTTCAAAGAAATTCGGTGCTGTCACAAACGGCAGGGAAGTCAGCTCCGCTATGCGCGCTGATACCTTCTCGGCAAAGCCCTTTGGCGCGTTAAGGCCGGTGCCGACGGCTGTGCCGCCCAGGGCCAGCTCGTAGACGCGGGGCAGACAGGCATCGATGCGTGCGACAGCATTGGTCAGCTGCTGTGCATAGCCGCTGAACTCCTGGCCGAGCGTCATGGGGACGGCATCCATCAGATGGGTGCGACCGATTTTGATAATGTCCTTGAAATCCAACGATTTGCACATGAGAGAGTCGCGCAGAGTCGAAATGGCGGGCAGCAGGCGATTGTTTAGCTCCAGTGCGACCGAGATGTGCAAGGCCGCCGGAAAGGTATCGTTGGAGCTCTGCGACTTGTTCACATGATCGTTGGGATGCACTGGCTTCTTGGAGCCCAGTTCGCCGCCCATTGCCTTGATGGCCGCATTGCTGATGACCTCGTTGGCGTTCATGTTCGTCTGTGTGCCGGAGCCCGTCTGCCAGATGACCAACGGGAAGTGACCTTTGACATAGTATTCGCCCGAAATGACACCGTCACAGGCCGAGGAAACAGCATCCGCTATTTTGGCATCCATCCCAAAATCCTTGTTAACCTCCGCACAGGCCTTCTTCAGAATGCCCATGGCCTGAATGACGGGTTTCTGCGAAAACAAAACGTTGTTCACCATTTCTGCTTTTGATTGCGTGGGATTGGGAGTGGGAGTGGGATGACACCGATTCATAGTTACCGGCATGCGTTCGCCAATGCTGCCAACGGGAAAATTGAGAACAGAGCGCATCGTCTGCGCGCCGTACAACTTGTCCGCCGGCACTTCCAGATCGCCAAAGGTGTCGCGTTCCACACGAAATTTGCCATTCTGCCAAAAATGGTTGGATCAAGAGAGGATCTATCTGTTGTCCGATGGACACTTACGCCATTCGGCTTTTTACACTGGAGCATCAGCGACGAGGTGCCGACACGCCGAAAGCTGATCAGAATTTGGCACGGCTGAAACATGACGGGTTGCCGAACAAACAACAACATCTCTTTACCAGGTTGTTTTATTCGGCTACAAAATAAAAAAATAACCAATTTTGTCGCGTATTTTCAAATTGAAACGTAAGTTAATTTCCAAAGAGTTGCTTTTTATTGTGGCAGCTATTTTGAACTGAAAAACAAACTTGAAATATGGTCGCCAGCTAGCCTATATAGCCAGACGGTTTAAGCAGGGCCAACTTGGTAGCTATGTAAATGGGTCTTGGTCTATTTGGGTCCCAGCATCTGTTCGGGTCGCACCCAATCGTTGAACTGCTGCTCCGTCAAATAGCCCAGATTGATGGCCTCCTCCTTGAGCGTGGTGCCGTTCTTGTGCGCCGTCTTGGCTATCTTCGCCGCCTTATCGTAGCCAATGTGCGGATTCAGTGCGGTGACCAACATCAGCGACTCGTTCATGATCTTGGCAATGCGTTCCTTGTTGGCCTGAATGCCATTGACACAGTTTGCCGTAAAGGTGCGGCTGCCATCGGCTGCAAATGGCAAAAGGGAACACTTAAGAAACAGAACAAGAGAGAGAGAGAGAGAGAGAGGCAAAGCTACTTACAGAGCAGGCGTATGGAGCGCAGCACATTGGACACAATTAATGGTTTAAATACGTTCAGCTCGAAGTGTCCGTTGGCGCCGCCAATTGTGACAGCCACCTGGTTGCCCATGACCTGGGCGGAAAGCATTGTAAGGGATTCGCACTGTGTGGGATTCACCTTGCCCGGCATTATGGAGCTGCCCGGCTCGTTCTCTGGCAGTGAGAGCTCGCCCAGACCGCAACGCGGCCCCGAGCCCAAAAAGCGTATATCATTGGCAATCTTCATCAGACTGACGGCAATGGTGTTCAGCACGCCGTGCACTTCGACCATGGCATCGCGTGCGGCGAGTGCTTCGAATTTGTTGGGCGCCGTCACGAAGGGCAGGCCCGTCAGCTGGGCTATCTTAGCGGCGCACTTCTCGGCGAAGCCTTTGCGCGTATTCAGGCCGGTGCCGACGGCTGTGCCGCCCAGCGCCAGCTCATAGACGCGGGGCAGACAGGCATCGATGCGCTCGAGGGCATAGGCCAGCTGCTGGGCATAGCCGCCGAATTCCTGGCCCAATGTCAATGGCACCGCGTCCATTGTATGGGTGCGGCCAATTTTGATGATATCCTTGAACTCATTCGATTTGGCGGCGAGCGCATCGTGCAGCGTCTTGATCGCCGGCTTCAGATTGTTGTTCAGCTCCAGTGCGACCGAGATGTGTATGGCCGTGGGGAAGGTATCGTTGGAGCTCTGCGACTTGTTCACATGATCGTTCGGATGCACTGGCGTCTTCGAGCCCAGCTTGCCGCCCATCAGCTCAATGGCACGATTGCTGATTACCTGACAAAGGAAGGCTATGAGTACGGGAAATGAAACACTTGAGATTTGGTTAGGGCCACGTACCTCGTTCACATTCATGTTGCTCTGGGTGCCGGAGCCAGTCTGCCAAATGACTAGGGGGAAATGATCGGCGTACAGCTTGCCGGAGATGACATCATCGGCGGCCTTCGAGATGGCCTCGCTCACCTTCTGGTCGAGCCCGAACTCCTTGTTGACCTCGGCGGCGGCCTTCTTCAGTATGCCCATGGCCTGGACAACGGGCTTCTGTGCTTGGAGGAACAATCCGTTTGTATTAGGATCAATGATGGCAGCTCATCAGGCTTACCGGCATGCGTTCGGTGGCACCACCAATGGGAAAGTTAATCTGGGAGCGCATCGTCTGTGCGCCATAGTATTTGTCGGCGGGCACCTTCAGCTCGCCAAAGGTGTCGCTCTCCACGCGAAAGTCCTGCGATGCCTGTCAACGATATCAACAAGAATTTTCAAAGGACTCTCCATACATGTAATTATATATATATGTATGTATATATATATATTCGTGTTTTGCCCGACCATGTTGTCCGACTTAGAATATCGTTATAAAAGTGATTGTGACTGCGATTGCCAGCGGCTCCGTTGGGTGAATGGCGGGCGAATCAGATAAGTCAAGCGGCCGGGGCCATAAACTACAGCTAAATGCCGACGGCGGCGCGAAATCAACGCAAGGGCAAGCTCAACAAGTACGGCATGTTGGATTGTTGCGACAGCCTCACCCGCGGATGCCCTACACTCTCCTGGCCTGGGCTAGAGCTCAACTCCGGTTTAGCTTTTAGAAATCGAATTCGATTTGTGCCTGTTTCAGATTTTCATTTCGATCAAACTTATCGAAATCGAAATGGTTCCGATTCAAGCTTTTCATTTTCAAGCTTTTCATTAAAGCTGTTGGTGTAGTCTTTTTTACACAATTATCATTCAACAATTACTTTAAAAAGCAAAACCGACCTGTTCTCAATTGAGACTGAAAGAGAGGTCTTTGTTTTGGCCTTAACTATACATTTTTCTCTATTTTATGGTCTATGGCTGACAAGTAATATTGAGTAGAAGATAAATCGTTCAAATTATTATTCAAATTTAGTTGATTTTTTTAAACCACATATTTTTGCTGTTCTTTGAGCTACTGATTCGGTTCAAGGTTCGGTTCACTGTGTGAGCGAAATTGAAATTCCTTAAGCGAACCGGTTCAGAAGGAATTGAAAAGCAAATTGATGACAGCCCTGTCATTCTAAGAAATTAAATTTGAGCTGTTTTTCGCATTTGCAACAACTATTTCAAATTTTTCAGAGCTTTTCCTCTTAGCCAGCTGCTGTTGCAGCTGCAGGGCATAAGAAGTGCCCGAATGCCGAACTCAAGACTCTGCGACCCACGGGGCGCGCTTTCTGCTTCTCGGCTGCGCAAAGTCTGCCTTTGTGTGTGTGTCGGTGTGTATATGATTGTGCGCTAATCTGCGCACATGTGTGTGTGTGTGCGCGAGTTTTTACATTTTATATGCCGCTGTATGTAAACAAGCCACGAGCAAGTGCTAAATTAAAGAAAACCAAGTAAAATAAAAACAACAACAATTCGTGTGGGAGAGATTAGAGCGAAGCAAGCGCCTCTAACTAACGAGCAACGGTAGTTAGTGGATGCCAATCGGTATGAATGATTGGCTAAATACATTTCACACGACGGTGCGACAATCCTTTTCCAAGTTCCAATTAGAACATCAGTCAGATACAATTAACCGGTTTGCATTGTCAAAAAACCTGTATAATTGGCAATATGATTGTGCTTGTGTGTGTGTGTGTGTGTGTGTGTGTGTGTGTGTGTGTGTGTGTCTGTGTAAATTGCTGGCCTGGGCCGGTTTTTGCGCAAACTCAGTGAAATCGGTGCAAAAGAATATATGTATATAAATATATATATATATGTAGAGGAATCAAAATAATTTATGTACACACATTACATGTGTGTAGGATAAAAAAAACTTGATGACGAGCTGAAATACCCTGTACAAAATCATAGCTGGAAAGTACCTATGGTAGTTATGCCTAGAAGATATCCTACAGATTTTGATAATTTGAATAACTCGATTTGATAAACAATCAATAATATAAAGGTATTACAAGCTTTGACCGATTCACAAGTTCTTATTTGAATTCCAACTTAATTTTCCACCCATTTTACGCTAGCTCATGTGAAATAAACATGTGCCGATTATTAAATCAGGTAAAATGGCTTAAATATGAAATGCTTTTAATTTCTAAAAGTTTCTTTTAACTCTGGATGTGGATTTTCGTAAACTTTGTCTAAGAGGTCGCTTTTAAAATTAACAAGTTCTATCGGCTTGTGCTCTGTGTAAAGTTTCATTCAGTGAAAAAAGTATTTTCCCCTTTATTAAAACGTAATTTTTGAAGCAGAACTATAAAAATTAAGATTCAGCATTTTTTTTTCGATTTAGAACGACCGATCAATTCTCGAAGTACTTTTTGTCGAGAGATTACTGTAAAAAAAAAATTTCAAGACATTACCTCACTTTTCCGGCTAAATAATTTCCTTTTTTTAATCACACAAATACAGAAAAATAATTAATCGTGAAATTGGCGCAATTCCAAGCAATAGGATAAGTCTTATTTGATTTTAATATCTCTCTGTGTCGCCATATTGCCTAATTGGATCCGTGGTAGATACTCTCCGCAAAGCAAATATGCTTCTAGTTGGAATAATGCACAACTTGTTGAAGTTTTGGCCTTTTTTGTTGCAATTATTTCGATAAAAGTAATTAAAAGGCCACTTCTTTGGCACTGTTTAACTATTTTCAGGATCCGTCTCATATAACCACCTCATATTTGCATGATTATGAAATGCCGGCAATGGCCACAGCAATGGTGCCAATTGGAAGTATCTGCAGTGCATGGGTGCATATATGTACATATATGTGTGTGAGTGCATTTAGAGAGGATTGTTCCCGATTGTAGCTCATGAACTTTGCATGTTGTCTTTAAAAGCTGGCCAAAAGCGGCAATGCAGGCCAGAATATAAATGCAAATTACATAAGCGCACATTCCACGATAAATCTCCTTACCATGCGAAGACTGCACGCTGCGCTAGCCCATGGCTTGGTCAGCTGTTGAACGCCACGAAGCGTGGAGCGCTGCAAAAGCGGTAGCACCATCTTTATAATATGTACAATAAGTTAAATACAGCAATTGCAAACAGAAATAAAGCCGCGTATATTTCACTCGCTCTCAACTAGCGGGACCAGGCAGGCAACACAACAAAAACAATCAATGCGATAGGCGATTATTATGTTTGGAATTGTATATCGATAGATGCATTCATCGTATTGAGCAATTTAGTAGAGATGCGTACTTTTCGTAGATATAATCTCTTATTTCAAAAGCCAATTTAATGCCGCTAAACATGGATAATTTGTGATTTAATTTTAAAAATAGTATTTTAAATATTACGTGACTAGTCACCGTTTAAGTTGTGTGCACACATATCGCAAAGACTATCGCTCATCTCTAGGCAACAGCTGTGACTGCTGCCTGCCGAATTGCTGCTAGGCAAGAGCTGGAAGTGTTGTGAATAAATTGTAAATTGAAGAGCAATTAACGCCATCGCCCACACAATGTCAGCGTTAATGAAATCTCTGTGCCTGGCCAAGAAGCTGAGCGCTGTCAATCCTGCTCTGCAGGCTCACATTGTCCGCAATCGTAAGTGCATTTTGTTAGTGTTTCTGTTTTGTTTACGTAACTTTTGTGATGTTTCAACAATTTGGCATTTCTCCATTTACAGTTGCCGGCTGGAACAAGGATTACAAGCCAGGTCCATATCCAAAAACCGACAAGGAACGCGAGGCCGCTGCCAAAAAATACTATCTACTGCCAGAGGAGTACAAGCCATACGCAGACAACGGTCTGGGCTTTGGCGACTATCCCAAAGTTGGCGGTGGCCTTGGCATAGAGAACAAGGATAATTATTATCCTTATGACTATCCCGAACACAAGCGCAACTTCAATGAGCCCGTATGTGCCTTGATTAAAGCTTGGCAAGCACAGTTCTAGATACAGATATATGTATATGATTGCTCTTTCAGATTTCGGCGGATCACGATCTGTACAGCGAGGATCGCTACTCACAGCCCGATGTTCCACGCTACAGCAACGCCTACTACTTCACGTGCTTTTTGGGCGTCATGAGCGGCTGCCTGGCGCTCTACTATTGGCTCGAGGACAAGAAAATGTATCGTCCCGTTGCCGCCAAGCAGTATCCAGCTGACGGCGTCAAGCACTACACCTTCGAACGTTAGGGACCGCCAGGCGGACCAATTGGGACAGCCGGATTGTGTGTCGATTATTTTTCTCTTTCTTTCTGTTTTGCTCCGCCTAATTATCAATTGGGCAATTTACCAGCGCATATGTACCATTAAAAGAAAAACTAAATTAAATTGACTTCAGAATTATTTGCTACCAACTCAGAATCAGTGTTGCAAACCGAACAAAAAACCAATGTCGTTGCTTTGGTTCACGGTTCGAACCAATGCCTCATTTGGGTTCAATGCGTGAACCAGTTTTTCCGCATCCATCAACATAGATTTTGGTTCAAAGCATGATTTGACGAAAAATGCAAAGTTCGTATTTTATCTGTTGCTTTATTAAAAAAATAGTGTTTTCGAAGAACATCTGTTCATTTTTGACGACATAACCTCAAAATTTAAAATATCTATTAAAATTATATATAATTGCATAAAAAAGCTGAAGAGTTAATTCAAATACAAATGCATATTAATTAGAAATTGAATTAAATATCCGAATTACTTAAAAACTACATTTAATTCTTAAAGTATAAGTTAAGATCTAAAATAGATGAAACCTAACCTAAAACAATGAATGGGGTGGGAGGGGGAAAAAAAAACGCACAAACTTAACCTTAAATGAAATGCAAAAATGAGTGTTGAGAATTGTTGAAGATTAGTCCACAATGTAATTGGGATGCACCACAAGAAGCGGATCGTTTTCGAGCTCATCATCGACAGCTGAAGCTTTGGGACTCTTGGCGAATGGCTTCAGATTGGAGGTTTTCAGCGGTATTATGACCTGGTCATGATAGATCAGACGATCGATCAGCTTCTCGATGAGGTTCTTGCGGGATATGAGCTCGTCCTCGGACTCAATTTGTTCGGCCACCTGCTCCAGATACCAGGTAACGACATCGCTGCGCTTCATGCCCGTATCGGTGCCCTCGACCTCGCAGCGCGCCTCCTCGCCGCGCATGTGCAGCACCAGCATTGTCGACAGATTCTTGTAATCCTCAAACGATAATGTGAACTTCTTTTTCTGCATAGCACTGCCCGATGTATCCAAGGCGGCATCGACGCCATCCACATTGGCAGCCGCACCATTGTTCTCCATATCAATGTCATGCTCGATGCCATCGTCGGCATCCAGATGGTCGTCATCATCCAGATGGATGTCCGGCTGTTCGACCCGTATGATGGATTTGTTGAGCAAACGGAAAGCCTCCTTGACATGACGCTCCTGCACACGATTGGAGCACTCCAGCTTGGCCATGGCCTCGCTCAGCCGTATCATGGACTCCAGCTGGCGCACCGTAATGCGCCAGGTGCTGCGTCCCGATGAGCCCGTGTCGCGCTGCCGCAAATGCCCATAGTTCTCCACCAGCATTTTGCCCGCCTCCGTGCCGATAATGGGCTTAAACTGGCGTGCAAATGTCACATAGCGCAGCACCTCCTCACGCGTATACGCACGCTGCACAGACTCCTCAATGTTCGAGTGAAGATCAACGATCTTGCGGGCGATGGCATAGTCGACCACCTCGTTGCATTCATCCACCAGAATAAAGAATAAATCAAAACGCGACATTATTGGCGCCGACAGCTGAATATTCTGCTGCAGACTCTTGGAGCGATCGTAGCGACCGTTGATGGGATTGGCGGCAGCCAGTATGGAGGTGCGTGCATTTAGCGTGGCCCGGACGCCGGCGCGCGCTATCGATATGGTCTGCTGTTCCATGGCCTCGTGTATGGCCACCTGATCGCGCAGATCCATCTTGTCGAACTCATCGATGCAGCAGATGCCGTTGTCGGCCAACATGAGGGCGCCCGCCTCGATCACAAAATCGAAGCTCTCCTCGTCGCGCACCACGGCGGCGGTCAGGCCAGCCGCCGATGAGGCCTTGCCCGACGTGTAAATGGCGCGCGGCGAAAAGTCCGACACCTGTTTGAGGAACTGCGATTTGGCCGTGCTCGGATCACCGACAATGCAAACATTAACATCGCCACGCAGCGATGTCTTCTCCATTGTTGTCTTGGCCACGCCACCGAAGAGCTGCAGCAGTATGCCGCGCTTGACCTCATCGTTGCCATAGATGGAGGGGAAGAGGCTGCTGATCAGGTTCTGGTATAGATTACGATCCTTCGACATTTCATAGATCTTTTGCCATTCGGCATCGGTCATTTGCTTCTTCATATCCTCAGCGGTCACCTCGGACATGGGCAGATCGGTGCCGCCGAACCGTGCGGTTGTCGCCTGAACGCTGCACGCCAGAAATGCCATGCGATAGTTGAGCTCACGGACGCCGAGAGCCTTGAGGCCGGTGACGCCGTCAGAGCCCTCGCCGGGCTTGTGGCGGGAGCCCATTTCGGCTCTGGTGCCCGGCATGCTCAGCACGCTCACGTCCGGTACCACGATGAGGGTGCCTGTGAAATCATAACGATCGCCAGCCTGCACCGTTTCCACCAGCTCGGAGCGCAAGATGATCTCGACAGCGCGTGGTATGCAGCCGCGCGGCAGCTCTGCCTGCGTCTCCTGTATGCGTATCTTCTGGAAATCAAGGAACAGCGACTTCTCCACGTCCAGCATAAAGCGACGACGATTCGCGCATACGGGATTCCGGCAAATGGTCGGATTGGTGAACTTAAACTGCTGCTCAACGTTGCGTATCTCCGTCTGGCAATCGAGGCACATGAATGTGCCCGACACCAGCTCCGGGTGGACAGGATGTGTGCGCACCACCTGGCCAGAGATGCGTATTAGTGTGCCAATCTTTGAGGTGGTCAGATCGCGTACTTTATGCCGTGTCGGCACCTCGGTGAACGCTACATAGCAATCCTTGTTGGTCTTCAAGCCAATGCGATCCTTCACATAGTTCGAGACAGATTGGCACAAAAACGGATAGACATGATAGTATTCCTCAATAATGGCCGTCGCCAGATTCTGATCGTATTTCTCCACATCCTCGAAGCTAACTTCTAGCGTGCAGCGATCGGGCGACTCCAGATTAGCAGCCGGACGTGTATATTTAATTTCGCCATCCTCTTTGAATTCCTCGAGAAAATCTTGGAACAGCTTCTGGGTGCGTATGCCCACCTCATCCTTGACGCGTAGCTGTCCGATTTGTGCATCCGCAACATCCATCTCGTTCGATTCGTGACCAACAAATAAACAATGTAAACGCGCAAAAATAGTTGTGTCGACTGATGCTATTTACTTAGCCGTCGTTGCGTGTTTTTTTTTTGCCAATTTTCGCGCCTTTTTTGACAATTCGCAGTGACAGTAGCGGCATGTGAGTTATCGACTCTTGAGCGACTATCGGCACATTATACGTGAGGGGGTGTTTGCACTCGTTTATGAATGTAGCGCGCATGTTAATTTTCTTAAAATGTATTGTATTTATTTTACATTCGCTTTTCGTGATTTAAATAGCTATAAATTACATTTTTAGAAATCTATCGATAGCTGCGCGCCAAAATATTGCCAGACGGCAGCAGTCTGGCAACGCTGCCAACACTATCGCATTGTCTTATCGATATCGGCTTTCTATGCAAGTTACCATCGCTGACGCGTGTAAGCTGAGTGCGACAAGGAAATTATTGATTCCGAAATTTCATTAGAGAAATAAATTCAATTGGACCGACTTGATGGAACACGTTTGCTAAACGCGCGCTAACAGAGCACAATAACCGCAACTACGTTTGCACAGCAGCTGCGACTGTCAATTGACTTGGGGCCAGCCATACACAGCCATCAACCCACCCACACACCTACACATACACACACGCACGCACGCACATAAACAAGCAAGCACATCGCGCGCACCACACATACAGCCAAAATGGTGGACGCTGCCAGACAAATGCTCGATGAGCTAATGGGCCGCAATCGAAATTTGCATCCTTCAGAGGCTGGGCAAGCGGTCAACTGGGAGGATCCAGAGGTAAGTCCCAGCTTGAGCACCAGCTAGCTATCATAAACGTGCTCTGTGTGTGATATAATCGCATTTCTTGGCAGTGCCCGCACTGAATAACAGTGTTGTTGCTGCGCCACTTTATGGCCATTTTATTTGCATATGTATCTCTAGTGAAGCCGGCTAAGCACAGTACAAGCAAAAAGTTGTGGCACAATCTTAAAATAGTTGCAGGCACCGCAACTTTGTTTACACTCTGTATTTAAAACTTGTAATCCCCTTGATTTTATTATTATTTAAACACATGCAAATAAAATCGAGGGCTACAAATTCAACAAAAAAGAAATAGAGGATATTGTCGCTGGTTCGGTTCACGATTTGAATCAATTCCTTGCCTAAAGGTTGCCTTGGGGTAAAGAGTAAGAAGTACCTGTATATATGTATATATTTTGTTGATTTTCAATAGCTGGGCCGAAAGAGTTTAAACTAGAGCACTGCGCAGCCAACTTTTCGTTCTGATTATATGGATAAACGACTCATATGTTTGTTTTCTTTTGCACAGTTTTGTCAATTCTACAATGTGAAATTTTGTCCGCACGATCTGTTTATAAATACACGAGCCGATCTTGGTCCTTGCACACGCATTCACGATGAGGAGGCGAAACACCTGTACGAGGAGGCGCGGCCATCGCAGCGCAAGCGCCATACGGAGGATGAGTTTCTGCGCTTTTGCAATGTGATGCTGCACGATGTTGATCGAAAGATACAGAAGGGCAAACAGCGTTTGCAGCTGATGCAGCGGGATAATCCGTCTGGGACAATGTCGCATGCGGCCAAACATCAGGAGCACATGACCAATCTCACTGCGCGCATCAATAAGTTGCTCGCCGAGGCCGAGGAGGCGGGCATACGCGGCGATGTTGATCAGGCGCAGGATCTGATGGCTCTCTGCGAGGAACTGAAGGAGGAGAAGGAGTCCGTGCAGCAGCAGTACGAGGCTCAAGTCAAAAACTATCATAACCTTCGTGCTGCGCCGGCGCAATCGACCACGCCCACGCCCACGCTGGGAACAAACGCCGCTGAAATAACAAGCAACGATCAGCCGCTCGCCAGTCCCAAAATAGCCAGCAGCATTGGCGATGCCATCGCCAGCGACAGCACCGAATCGAATGAACCGATCGAAGAGCCCGTAGCCGCAATTGCAGCAACTGGAGGCGGCGCATCGCCATCGACAGCAGCTGTTGGCAATAATGCGTCCGAGGACGACAAGTCGGACACGAAGACAGATACCAAAACGGCGGCGGCCAATTGGTCGCACGAAGTGCTTCCCGAAAAGCAAATGAAGGTCTGCGAAATATGCGGCGCCTTTCTCATTGTTGGCGATGCACAGCAGCGCATCGAGGATCATTTGATGGGCAAACAGCATTTGGGCTATTCCAAGCTGCGCAATGCCGTCACCGAAATCAACGAGCGGCGCCAAAAGGAGCACGAGGAGGAGGAGCGAAGGCGTCGCGATGATCGTGTCCAACGCTTTCACAACACCTACGACAACAGGCGGTAAGGCAAACAATTCTGATCAGGCTGATGATCAGTCCACATATTCACTTGAAGGCAGCTCTGTGAGAGCCTTCCTGGCCAGCGGAATGGTAGCAACAGCTCTAAGAACTGTCAAGCCTTCTGATTAGCATTTTAAAATCTACCAAAAAAAAATGTCGAAAAAGCTTCAGATATTGGGAGGGACTTCACTTCGTCCCTCACTTTGTGGTGGAAATACTTTCGTAGTCCGATTACTCTGCAGAGCCTAGTTGTATAATTACCAAAGCGCATGGGTCTACCTTTAAAAATTAACTTCTTTCGCGTATCAAGCTCATATATCGCATAAGAAATAGACAGACGCTCAAGGCTGCCTCCTGATCAAGAATGTATATAGGGTCCAAAATGGTTCCTTCTGCCTGTTGCATACATTCTGGCATTCAGGCAACATGTATGCATACATATATGTACATATATTTCTAGCGAGCACTCTCGACTTGGCAATTGTGTACATATATTTAAATGTATGGGTTTTTGGATATACAAAACGTAATAGCCATTAACATATTCTCCCTCTCTTTTCAACACATGCATCGTGCTCGAATTCGTGCAGCGATCAGCGTGACTATCGGGAACGCAGTCGTGACTATCCGCCCAATCGCCAATCATCGGACAGGCGGCATCGTAAGTTTGCGCACGGCCCAAAGCCGAAACCCTTGATTGCCGGTTCGACTTTGAGTCATCCATTTTGCATGCAACTGTCTGTCTAATGTTGCGTCTCTTTGCACAGATCACCACAAATCGCATCACGGTCATTCGTACTCGCGCAGCGGCAGCCACAGCAGCAGCGGCAGCAGTCGCAGTCGCCACAATCATTATCGCCACGACAGTCGGGAGCGGCATTGTCGCAGTCGCAGTCGCAGTCGCTACTAAAGGATACCAAATACAGGACCGGCAGACAGACAGACAGCAGCAACTACAACTACAACTACAACTACAACTACAACTACCACTACAACAACAATAAGAACAACAAAGAGCATAAGCTATAAAAAAAAACAAACAACTTGATAAAGAACAACAACAACAACAACATCATCAACAAATTAAGAAAAACCATAAAAAACAATTGTAACTAATTGAAAATGCGAGTTAGCCGAAGATACGCAACACGAACTCTCTTTGGCCATGTGCCACGCCCAATAACGCGCTGCCCCGCCCCCACCACACTCCATGCAGCATCGAGGTACTCCAAATAATAATAACACATTTCAATAATCTGTATAAAAAAAAAAAAAATAATTAAGATCAGACAGTCTAAAAGGCGCGCATGTGTGTGACACGTGCGAACCTACCAAATATAATGGGACTAGAGGTGAGTTCAACTATATATCAAATCCTATATTCATAATCCCTACTCGTACACGTACTCGTAGTCCAACAAGAACAACAACAAAAAAACAAAAAAAAAAAAAAAAGAAGAGTATTTATGCTCTATGTAATCTCAATTGTACAGAGACAGGCACAAATTGTCTATACCCCTTAAAAAAATATGTCAAAAAAGAAAACCTCCCAAATTCACATAAATACACACCTACGCACACACACGCCCACACACACACACACGCACACACACGCACACATAGTTATATAGATGAGAAAGTTATGTTTGCACAAGACTCGCCTGTTCTGGTGTGCTACGGATTTATATACATATGTATACATGCATATCTATCTATATATACATATATATTAATCCAGGTGTGTGCGTGTTTTACTAATATGCAATGCTTATTGTAAATCGTGTTTCATTTTCAACATTTCAAGCTTCATTCGCAAATTCTATGCCGGTTTGTGCACTAGAAAACTAAGTACCAAATACCGGATGGGGGAATGCTGGAATGAAACAAAGTTGTCTGCATTTAACACAGCGTGCAGCTGATCCTCGTTGGAACGATGAATTGACACATACATATGTACTATGTCCTTGAATTTGTCCGTCTGTTTTTTTTGGGCGGAGTATACTGACCGATCGCAAAAGGAATGCCGGAATGAAACGCAAATTAATATTGACTTAACACTTGTGTTGCATATGAGAAGTGTTCCAATGCCATTCGTTCCAACTTGAATTGTTTCATCTACAATTGCGTCTGCTGCACATTTTTCGGCAACTACAGCCAATCCCTCATTCGTTTTTTTGGTATTCGAACAATAAATTTTGTAAACTGCACTAGAAACAACGCGAAACCCGGAACAGGCAACCCAAGAGTCTATTGTTGCACTTGTCGCCTTGATTGTAGCTAACATGCGAATATGTATTTGCATATGTGTATGTGTATGTCATCGATAGCCAGACAGACGGGACAGATGGATAAATATGTCAGTGGAATATGGAATATGCGGAACAAACCAAAATATTTCTAGTCCTGGGGGTAGTTCCATTTGCACCGATCGATGGCAAATGTGTATGAAACAATTGGAAGCAGGTTAGTTGCATTTTTAAGCATTCGACAATCGGTTTACGGGCAACAGCATTCACTTACAAGACACACACACACACACACACACACACACACAATTACACACAATCTATACTTAAAAAAAAAAAAAAAATTAAAGAAAAAAAAAACACAACAGAACGCTGGGAATGAGAGTATCCTTGTTGTACTTGTTATTGGAGATACGTTCAAATTGATTGTACCAGGTATTTACAACTCGACAAAAAAAAAACTAACCTCAAAAAAAAAAAAAAAAAACCATACAAACTCTAAGTATATGCATATACTATATTATGATATATAATGAAACACCCACACAGATCGCGTTTGCATGGGAATGGCATGTGCTTTGTGGTTCGCAGTTCGCGGTACAGCGAACCAGGGATCCCCGATCCAATCACAGCGTTCTAATTCATTGCCACCCATCAGGGTCAGGGTTGCATTAAGCTTGAATTGTTAACGGTTAATTCGCTCAGAGGTACGTAATCCTCTCGCTCTCTCTCTCTCTCTCTCTCTCTCTACACAGACACAAAAACACCCCCACACACACACACAAACACCTACTTTCTCTCTCTCTTTCTCTTTCACCTTGTCTATCAATGAATCTCTCCTGTAGTCAATATAGTAGGAGGTGCCTTATTAAATATAACAACAACAACAACAACAACAACAACAACTCAAAATACATTAAACAGAACCGAAGGCTCGCTGACACGAACAACACACGAACAGTTGCCCGATTAACGGCTTTCCGAGACTCGTATATACGTCAGGTACATTTTCTTAAATTAATATTCATGCCTTTTCCAAAATATATAATTAATGTATAATCTAATTGTCCTCATGTCTGCTTAAAGAAACGGATTCATTGGAATATTTTCTTTCCAGCATCTGTTATTCCAAAGTACTAAGTAAAAACTAATTAAAGTAATATTTGAAACGATTTTTAGTTAAAATTTAAATGCAAATATTTTTGATTTTCCGTTTTACGACATTTCTAGATTATCTAGATTATATCTAATTTCTATATTTGGCAAGGGCATAGAAGCTTCGGCTATGCCGAAATTTTGTTCATGTTTATCGTTGTTGTACTCTACAATTACCACATACTCAAATTGAATAAGTGAAACGAAATGGGAAAGAAACAAAAGATATTTATCGATATAAGCAACGCGATGATTGAAGCTGTGATCGATATTTGGGTCGAGTTCGAATTCGAGCTTGGAATTCGTTATCGAAACGTTAGACGATCCGCAAGACGCGCGCAATCGAACTCTCGCTCGAGTCAATGCAGAAGAAGAGGTAATTGCAATTGAACTAAAATCCTAAAAAAAAAAACACAAACAAACAAAATCAAATTGTTAATTTCTATTCAAGCATTTACTCTAATACACATAATATATGACTACATATATATGTACATATATATTATGTATAGCCAAGTAGATGCCTAACATTCGAACACACACACGATCCGTAGTTAGGCGAGAGCAGGCCGCGCGATCCTATACGCATTTCTCCCCAAGTCCCTGCTTCGAAATTTGTGCAAATCGTTCTATGTGTATGCATTATGTTTAACATATATACAGGTAAATTTTGATTATAAAAACCAAGACAACAACAACTACTTTTATATACTAAATACTACACACAAAGATCGCCATCTACACTTAATATTCGTTGAGCCTAAGAAAACTGTAGAATACAAGCAGCTCAGGGCTAAAAGTTTCTATCCAAATGGTTAAATAGCAATATCCATGCCCCTACCCCAACCCCTCTACACACACACACACACACACACACACACACACACACACATACCGAACTACTCTCTGTTAAAATTTGCTTTTTATTGGTGGGTTCAACTTAATAATTGCTTTTATACTACGAAAATAAAACAAAAAACTATGAAATAGTCGTAAGCATTAACCAAATTATGGCCATTGTTTATTTTTTTTTTTTGTTCCTTTGTGTGTAAACTATTTACTTACGACATTCGCGTCTATCGTAACTACCTTATATATTATGCTCTCATACATGTACACAAAAAAAAAAAAAGAAAAAAAAAACGAAAAAACAATTTTTTTTTTTTTTTTTTTCTAAAAGTTCAAACTCGGACTTTTAGCTCGTAAATACCTCTTATGTGCCGGCCACTGGGCGTATTATTTAATAATATTAAAAAAAAAAAAAAAAAAAACAATATTAACGCCATGTTGTATACTAATGCCGTTTTCTTCACATATTGCAGGAACGAACGAATGCGTCAATTGAGAGCGACGAGTTTCTCTCGTCAACTGGTTTTTGGGAACGAATGATTATTAATGCGTGCCAGTGAAGAGCCTACTCCCAGGTAACTTCTATGCCCACAACACCCAGTTATGTTTCTTCAAGACAGACGAAAGCCGCCGAGTGCCAGTCAACGAGCAGCGAGCAGCGAGCAGCGAGTAGCGAGTAACGAGTAGCGAGTAACGAGTGACGGGCTCACTGTATCTTCCACTCATGTTAACTGTAATAAGCATGAGATACCGAGGTGAATTTCAATTTGTCTCCTTTTATCTCTCTTTCTATCTAACTGTCTCTTTCACTCCCTCCCTATAGATATATATGTATAAATAGCTATATATATATAGCTAACTATACCTATATATTGCTCCCACTCCCGACCTTTTCACACACCTACACACACACACACACACACACACCTACACACACACAACCCAAACAATTGTTAGATATTTGATTTAATTGGCCTCGTTGTATCTTTCACAAACCATTGGCAATAATAATTGATAAAAAGCGTATTTACATATATTGATATATGTATGCTTATTATGTAACATATTTACATATATATGTGATTCGTATATTTATTTTGAAAGCTTTTCTTTTGTTTTTTTGTTTCTCGGATTGATCTTCCGCAAAGTATGTGAAGCGTTTGTGAAGGATAATGCGTCGCCTGCGCCTTTCGTTATGTATTTAGAAAACAAACAAAAAACAATATTAATAATAATAATATATATATATATATATATATATTTTAATTTCATTTAATTCGCATACATGAATGTTTGAATACCGAACGAAAAAAACTAATAAATACATAAAAAAAAAAACGAAAAAAAAATGCAAAGAAACTGATAAAAAATAAAACAAAACAAACCAAAACAAAAACAAAAACAAAATGTAGTCATTTAATATAAAAGCGAGTTTTTAATTATTACATGCATAACTCACATCTACAATTAACAACTATTACAATTAATGATAATAACAACATTCAAATACGCGACTTGCAACAATTTTCTATCAAAGCAAATGAGATGACAAAAAGTTAAAAAAAATGCAATACAAAAACGAAAAGCAAGAAAAAATAATAAAAAACAAAAAAAAAAAAACTGCTACAGATTGCGCAATTCTAAACTCTTGTTGTTTTTCTTCTATGCGAGAGCTTGGAGCTGAAAGATTGAATGAAGAACAGCTCGATTTGCAGCTCGAAATATGTAATCCGAATTGTTCTTGAAAATCAGCTATTCACTTTGGAGTTGTCAACAAATGTGCTTTGCAAACAGCTAAAATGTTATTATATTGTAATTAGTTGCTCAACAAGATCCCAATTGAATATTAACATATTTCGATATACCAGATCTCAATATCGCTGCTTATCCGCGAGACTAGCTCCTTTAGTTAACTGGGAATACTTATGGAAAACGTTCAAAATCTGGCAGCAAACCGCATTTAAATCGTTGGGAATTCGTCTCGCGCTTTGAACCATCGACTGGTCTTGAGTTTCTGGTTCGTAATGCTCACATCTATTTTTGCAAACAAGACAATACTCGAAAACTACACGGCAAGATGGTATGGAAATTTTGTCCTCGAATGTATTTCGCATTGAAGATGACTTCTTCGACTCCATAAAGCATATTGCGTGGAGTCTTGATCAGAATCAACAGCTGGGTTGATATAGCCGTGGTTGTTTTTCATTTATGAAGCTATCCTAAAAACACGTCGTAATAGGCGCGTCTTTCTGTTACAGACAGTAAATAGTATGTATCATTTACTATCTTGTTAAAAAAAATCTTGACTTAAGTCGTCATTTATTAGCTTCACTATACTCCGATATCCTCCATTTGTATACCGATTCCCATCAACATCGGTATACTATATCATATAGGTCGAAAATTAAGTTTTTGCATGGAAAACATTTGTGTTTCTTCACATATCTTGGCCAAACTCAACATTTAGAAGCTCCTCTATGCTCTTTATAGTGTATATATATAAATATGCCAAAAATCGGACTGCCATTGTAGGTGCTTATATGGCAACATATTCTTGCTTTCAGGATATTTTCATTTAATATTTATTAACTTGAACAAGCTTGGCATTTAAAAGTTTTGGCATGCTACTAACATATCAGCCAAGTCTTATTATCATCTCGCTCTAGATAGACTATAACAAATCGACAAATTAATTGTTTTCCAGATATTTTAATCAAAATCGCTGAAAGAGTATTTTCTAGTATTTTCCAGTATTTTCCGAGAAAAAAAACAAAGAGCTGAAACATTTTCTTTTTTAGCAATTGTGTATATTTATTGTAATATATATATTTGATTTGTTTGTATAGATAGGGTATACACATACGTATGATAATATTGTTGTTGCCATTTATTGTATGTTTTTGCATTTATAATTAATATCTACAACAATCTATATGCATAGTGTTATATATATGTATATGTATATGTATGTATGTATGTGTATATATCAATTTGGTGATTTTATCAATATCATATTCAAACGGAATTCTCATCTTCTAACAACATATAAATTCATAATATTTGAGGGCGCAAATACGAAACGTTTTCTTTGTTTTTTTCTTTTTTCCTTCAAGCAAATAAAATACATCATAATATTTATATATGTATATATAAAATAAAAAAAATTGATTTTTTTTTTTAACAAATGTTTTGTGTAAAATAATCATAGGCATTATATATATAAATATTTAAAGAAAAAAAAAAAAAAATATGTGTGTAGAGGTGAAACCAAACAAAAGAAAAAAAGTGGTTCAAATCAGCATTGAGCAATTGAGATAAATTTTGGCTAACTAACATTGAGTTCTAACAACAAACGATTCACTGTTTACTTAGTTTTTCTTTTTTTTTTTTTTTTGTTTGCTTTTTACAATTTATACAATTATTTAGCTGGGCAATTTTCAAGAATTTGCTCGTCTTTTGTTCGCTGCACTTTCGACTTAACCTCAAAGTTTCATTTGCAGTGTGCCCATAGCAACTGTTTTTGCTGTTGTTGTTGTTTGTATGCAGGTTTGTTTTCTTTTCGCTTAGATTTCGTTAAAAAATTTCACAGTTATAAAAATTTGAGTGCTGGCAAATGCGTTGCCCGATTATTCAGCACGGATAAAAATATATGTTAATACCTAAAAATGTGTATGTATGTGTGTGCGGGTGTGGCTGTAGGGGAGAGCTTGTATGTGTGTGTGTGCTTTTTGTTGACATTTCGAGAAAATGTGGCATTCAACTTGCAGCAATTCTGCTCGGACGCCGGCTCATCATGGCGTTCCGTTGTGGCTGAGACATAGCTGGCTGCAGTGGATTGCCTCTCTGGTTGGGTGGAGGAGGGGGAGTGGGAGGGGGAGGGGGGGGGTAGGTAGGGGTTGCAGACGGGCAGCTGTTAGTGGCAATGCTCGGTGACATCGACAATTACCGATTTCTTCCAGCAGAACAGAAAGTATCCAATGCCGGCGCCCAGCACCACCATCATACAGAGCCATACATTGTATGTCATGAAGATCAACATTAGCAGGAAGGAGAGCGTCACCTGGAGCACGTGCAGCAGCGTCTGGTACAGATGATTGATGGACAGCATTGTCGGTCTGTGTGGCACATAACGTTTGAACAGGCGATCAGTTTTCAGATTTAAAGCCCGATTTCAAGCCCCACGACAATAAGTATGTGGTATTAGGGTAACAAAAACAAAAACATAAACATAAACATTAACAAATTAACAGAAAGAAAATGTACAACAATTTGGAAGATTTTACAGGATCTGTTAGTTCAGCGATAATTGGTTTTAATCAAAACAGTTCTAGGGTATTTGCTGTTAATCGAAAAAAGTCACAAGTTATCGATAAATTCGTATCGAAGTTGCTTGCAGCTTTTTCCAAAACTACTTAAAAGAGCTGCTCTACGAAGAATTGAATGAACGAATGAATACTCATATATACAGTGAACGCTGCCTATTAACGAACAGCATGCTTTATCGGACAACTGCACAGTTAATATATGTACATATTTTGATTTATAGCTAATATTTAAGGTTACTTCAGCTGTTTGAGTCAAAGAAACGCAGAAACGGCCAGGGCTGCACACTAAATATAATTGCAGCCAAAAGTGTGGTTATGTTCGACTTTTTGTTGTTTTCCCAACCAAGTTCGTTTTGTTGGGACTAGTATCAAAAGAGTTGTAAATGCCGTGAGATTTAGTCTAAAAGGCTGCAACTAGTTTTCAACCATACAGAAATGAAGGTGCACAAAATATGGCTGCAAGATTAGCGTTACGCATTAGTGCAAATTGGCTTAGTCACCAATTGTTAATTGGACCGATATCTGGGCAAATGGCCAGTATCAAGTGCTCGTATTTGGGTATCAAGTTGCGATTTGTCATCTAGCTAATCAGACGCGACTGTGTCTTAAACAAAAACGGATACACTTAAGAGAGATCGTTAATTAGATGTGCAACCGATATATGTACGATGCGATAAAGGTAATCACCCGATAATATATGTATGTGTAAATAGAAACGTTTTCATTATTGACTACATTTGCGGGGGCGTGGTTTGGGATACTTACGGTTGTTTGTGCACAACTTCGCCAACGTATCTGGGGAGGGGGATATGCATGTGCACACATACATACGTGGCCACAGTTAACGGTTAACGGTTAACGCGTAACGGTTAACGGTTGCGTACAAGTACGTCCGTGCGTGCGTGCGCGTGTGTGTGTGTGTGTGTACGAATACAGATGGAAGGGAAATCAATATTAAATTGTTATCGTTATCGTTATCAAATAGTAAGATGTCACGATTTGTTGGTTGTTGTTGTTGTTGGTTGTTGTTGTTTTTTCAAATAATCATTAATAATTTAATCATAATTATAGTTATTGTTATTAGTTGATATCGTTGTTTGATTTTGTACATTGTTGTGTGTATTTATAAGATGATGAGCATAATTTACATGGCACAGATGATGGGCGCACAGGCGAAAAGCGTATGATACACACAGGAGACGCATATAATAACGGTAAACGGCAACGACAGAAAAAGAGAGAGAGAGAGAGAGAGAGAGAGAGAGAGCAAGTGAAAATATGATATAAAAGTAAGCAATCGAATTAATATATACAGAGCATAAATCAAACGGCACAGTGGTACACAGGCACAGTGGTACACAGGCACAGTGGTACACAGGCACTCAAACATGCAACTGAAACTTGAGAACAAAAAAACAAACCAAACAATAATTGATTATCTGCAATACTCACTGCACGGGCGATGGAGCGGCGGCGGCGGGCGTGGGCAGGCGCGGCGCCTCCGGATTGCGTTGCGGTGGTCCCGTCACCGGCCGATACTCGAGCAGATTGTATGTCTTCCAGAACAGATACTCGCGATAGTATTTGAGGCCCTCGTAGAGCAGCGCCAGCAGAAAGATGGCTATCATGGAGCCAATCAGGCCCGCGACCGTCTCGATGTGCCACCAGGAAAACAGGATTGTCTCATTGTATCCGAAATGGAACTGATCCGAAGAACGGAAGACACGTTTCTATCAAATGGAAACAGTTTGGAATGCAATACAATGCTGGCAACTTACCGCCATCGACATCATGTGCTCCATGCCGGTGCCCGTGCCGCCGCCATGATGATGGCCAGGATGCATGCCCATGGCCAGATCGCCGTGCGGCGTCGCCAGCGGCGGGCTCAGCGTGGTCGTGTCCAGGCCCATGTGCTCGTGATCGTGATGCATGTTCGCGTGATCGTGTCCGTGCATGGAATGGTCTATCAGTTCTGTTCGGAATACAATCGAATCGAGGCTACATTCTCTCTCTCTCTCTCTCTCTCGCTCTCTCTCTTTTGGGCTGGCTACTCACCAACATTGGGTGCGCCGTGGTGTGCGTGTGCGTCCATTTCGCCGTCTGTTGTCTGTTGCTCTGCCAGGTGATATGGATCTCGGGCCGGGCTAATATCTGCGGTGAAAGTTAAGTGGAACACGAAATTTAGACACAATTATGGCAAGTGCTCGAGTCAAGAGTGCCCGACTACCAGATACCCTGGAGGATTTGAGGATCTCCAACTGAATTCTCAGAGTAATTGAGCTGTGCTTACTTTTGGCTGGAGCTTAGCCAAAAGCTATCCAAAACAGGAAGCTATGTGCCCACCAAATTGCATAGCTCTGGCTCATATAGTCTACGAGATATGCTTAAAAAACCAAGTTTCAAAATCGATATTTATCGATATTAAGGAATGTAGCTGGAAGAAAGAGCTCTACAGCTACAGATTCTGATCAAGATTTTATGTACTATATGCCACATGGATGCGGGGCATAACAATTACAAATCCGACAGAGTTACGCTCTCCCGCTGTTTAATCAATGGCCCAGCTGGCAACTAGAAAGTAATTCACGCGGCACGGCCAAAATGCTGCCACCTTTCACCCGCCGGCAGCAGCTCAATCTGATGGAGCTTAGAAAGTACCCAAATGCCCCAATGCCACGCCCAGTTGTTGCCCATTGCCTCAAAACAAAAGGTCACACATTCCTGTGCGGCATTCGCACAAAAGAATTGAAATTTTCCGCATAACTCGGCGTGCGTATAAAAGCAGAAAAGCAGTGGGGACGGGGGAGGGGGGGGCACATTGATGGGCGTGGAGAAAGCATCCAGCTTCAACAGAAACTTTAATTTAATCGATTATCAACAATTATCGACCTCGAAATACCCTATCTTTATAAGGATAAATCACGTACCCAAGCTCTGCCTAATCTCGATAACATAATAGCAATATTTTCTTCTCTCTTTGCATTTTAAATGGGTTCTTTTAAAAATTAATTTTCGTTCACTCTTCCGTCACGTTTTGCTAGTTATCGATATCAGCAATAGTCTTTTGCTGGTTATCGATAACAGCAATAGTCTTTTGCTAGTTATCGATAACAGCAATAGTCTTTTGCTAGTTATCGATAACAGCAATAGTCTTTTGCTAGTTATCGATAACAGCAATAGTTTCTTTCTTTGTTAAACTAAATTCAACTTTTACCTCACTTATACTATATCCTAATGGTATTTTAAAAATCTGTCTATATTCTGTTGCAGTACACGATAAGCTACGTGCCCATGCTCTGCTGGTTATCGATAACACACAGAAATATATATGTTTTGCTTTTCAAACAATATATGATTAATTAAGCTTTTTTCCACATTTTAACCATTTCTTAATGGCATTTAATTCAGCTCTATATATTTCTGCCACAGTAAACGATAAGTATGATGGTTATCGATAACACGCGGCAATATATTATTTGAGCAATTTGTCAGCATTTGCGTTTCGAAAACTTCTCTACATATGTGAACATTTTCTGAATGCTATTTAAATAATATCTTCAGACATTTGTTTCGCAGCAAACGATTAATCACCTACCCAAGCTCGATATGTTATCGATAACTGCAATGCTTTCCTTAGGTAAATATCAATTTACTTTCCCTTTCAGTCTTAATATACTATATTTTTTTTTTGGAATACAACGCGTTGCAGCGCACTTGTTAAACTAATCAGAGTTTAACTGCCTCGCGTTGGTATTGTCGTGCATATTTATGATGATATTCATATCAGACTTTATCAACAACACTTTGGCTTTGGCTTTGGTTTGGCTTTGGTCTGGCTTTGGCTTACCGCAAGTTGAGTCTTTGCTGTTTTTATACCCTGAACCCATTGAAAATGGGTAAAAGTATTTATTATGTATTTGAGCAAATGTATGTAACAGGCAGAGGGAAGCATCTATTCATATAGCATATATTCTTGATCAGCATCCGTCTGTCCGTCTGTATGAACGCAAGGATCGCTGAACCTATAAGAGCTAGAGACTTGAAATTGTAGCTGTAGGTCCTCCTAGTCCTGTTTCCGATATTCGATAACTTGCCCCGTTTTCAAGTAATCGATAAAAATCGATATCGAAATTCTGTTTTTTTTTTGTCGATTTCGACAAATAATATGAGCTAGAGTCACCAAACTTGTCATTTAGCTTCTAAAATAGTATATATATATATATCAAGTATTTTTTTAGTTTTTAGCTATCGCCTGTTGGCAGAAGAGGGTACAGGGTATCCCCTAGTCGGGAGTTCCCGACTAGAACCTCCTACTTGTTTTTATATATTAATTTGCAACTGCAATGAGGCAATACACTTGTTGTGCTGCTCGTTTGCGGTGTCATATCAGAGAATGGCAGCAAAATAGTATAAATGATAAATGATGATAAGGTGCATTAGGGTATTCGGTTTGTCTGTGGTTTGTTTTTTGATAGCGGGGGGGCCAACAAGCAATTAGCGCAATGTGAAAAGAGGGTGCCATATGCACATGCCAGTACATACAGTGAATGCCCTACATGACGAACAGCCGCCTCTAGCTGAGCAATTTATTTTCATCTACAAAAGTTAGTTAGCTGTTAATTCTGAATATATGTTTAACTATATCAAAAGCAGCACACACTTATCTCACAGTTCTTTAGCATCCAAAAAAATATCTATCTATATCTATCTTTAGAAATGTTTTTTTTTTTTAACACGAATCAAAGTTTTTAAGAGCTACTTGATATGTATAATATTTTACAGTTCGTGCAAAAGTGGAAACAGTTAAACCATATTAAAGCCCTTAAAGCAATTAGATCGGACTATGAGCACCGAACTTAATCCAACATGCATTCACCTTATATAGAGCGGGGCTTAATAAAGAAGAAGCACAGCATGCGTTAATGTATGTGCTTAAAAGTAATGAAGGAAGCTAGAAATAAGTCTGGGACGGCAACTTGGCGCTGGCTACAGGGTATCGCCTAGTCGGGCTCTGCCGTCTAGAGCACTCTGCCCTTTCTCTGTGGTTATTTCAGCGACACATCTGTCAAGCGTCCAGACGAACAAACTGTAGCCATGTATGTGTGTTCGCTCAGGCGAGCGTTCACTGTACATAAGCATAGGCAGTCCAAAGGTCGCATATTTATGGTAATTCGCTTGGAGCGTGATGATAGCTAGCTATGCGAATGGGGAACTACCATACACATTTAATATCATATACTATATATATATATAATGAATATAGTTAAACGTCACACATCTAGAATCGCTGGCAGCTATTATCTCCCTCTCCCTCCCTCTCTCTCTCTCTCTCTCTATCTCTATTATACTTGTTTTTACGATCGCAGATAAGCAAGTATATATATTATGTTTGCTCTGTTTAATCATTCATTTAAACATTCGCTTAACTGTTTTGTGGAATACCTTGTAATGTGTGTGCTTTGGGGAAATGCCAGCCCCCCCCCCCCCCCCCCCTCTGCAAAGCCGGTTTCGGCAACAATAGATGAAATATCTCGATTCGCTTTGGCAATTGGATGTTGGAAAAACGAAACCTAACTAAACCTGCCCTCTCCGAGCGTGAGTCAGTCACGAGACTCAGCGTATCCGGGCCATGATCAGAAATAGTAAAAACAACTAAGAGGTTCTAGTCGGGAGCTCCCGACTAGGGGATACCCTGTACCCTCTTCTGTCAACAGGCGATAGCTAAAAAATGAAAAATACTCGATATATATATATATATACTATTCTAGAAGCTAAATGTCAAGTTTGGTGACTCTAGCTCATATTATTTGCCGAAATTGCTCAAAAAACAGAATTTCGATATCGATTTTTGTCGATTACTTGGAAACGGGGCAAGTTATCGAATATCGGAAACAGGACTAGGAGGACCTACAGCTACAATTTCAAGTCTCTAGCTCTTATAGGTTCGGAGATCCTTACGTTCATACAGACGGACAGACGGACATGGCTGGATCGATTCGGCTATTGATGCTGATCAAGAATATATATATATACATATGCACTAATACAATATACCCTTTTTAGCCATTTTTAATGGGTTCAGGGTATACAAAATAAAGCCAACTGACATAAAACGAGTTCCGAATCGCATTCAAGTAACCGCAAGAGCTTTAAGCGTAGCTCGGTACATAAAAAATCCCAATTATCATATGTACAAAAGCGACCGCAATAAAAAAACAAAACAAAACAATGTAAAAGAACCACATTTGAGGCTTTACGGAATGCCAAAGATAAGCCAAATATCGGCCACAGAAAGCCCTCCCCGATCCACATCCATATTAGTCAACCCTCTCTCTCTCTCTCTCTCTCTCTCTCTCTATATATATATATATATGGTATATAGCATAACGGCATTTCAGTTTGCATTCGAATTGGAGAGCTTAATAGACGTTCACCTTGAAGCTGGCCGAGTCTGTTTAACTGGCCCAACTGGTTGGCCACAATTGTCTTGGGTTCGCATTCGAGAGACTACTTCAAATTATCGGTTGGGCCTTTCAATATATTTTCTACCCAAGCCACTTAATATCTGGTACATATATACATATATATATTCAACATTAATCTCAGTCATTTAGCCCAGCTGGGTTTTTCCAGCGCCCGAGTCATTGGGAAAACCTAATGAAAGCAGATTGGCTCTGGGCATGAATTCCAGGCATCTTATGTCTAAATAAACAGATAGATCGATCCTTAAGATAAAAATCCGGAAAATAATCCTGGCTATAAATGCACTATAAATTATTTTGTATAATATAGTACATAACATATATATTTATATGTTTAGTTATAGTCTAAATTATTATAATGTGCTTCATCAAATTGGATTTCTCTTTGAGTTTGAGATCGACCTAGCTATCTATCCATGGCTCAGATAATATGTACTAGGAACAATATTTATAAAAAAAAAAAACCTATTATAAATAATTAATAATATTAAAAAGAAAACTTAGTTTTGTACATCCTTTCAGATAAACTGTTCGCTTCGGACAAGATCCCGAGCATTTTGTCGGGGAACAAAAAAAAACACTTCCATGTATCTCTAACAATTTGTTCGATTTTTCTCTTATCTTTTGCTCTCATGTATTATACTTAATATTTTCAGATATAAAAGATAAGCGAAAAAACGTACTTGTATCTTAAACAAATTGTTCTTCTCTTCTTTAGAAATGTTTCTATTAAATATCATATCCCAAGCATTTTATGTACAAAAATACAGATTTGTTAGTTATTTTTCGGATCATTCTATAGATACTTATTATGGAAGAACAAACATTAAATAATTGCAATTTCCTTCAACAGAATATTGGATATTTTTACCGTTTATTTCGGTGGATTAACTATATAACTATATTATAATCAGGATGACAAAAAAAAAAAAACCCGGTTTTAAAAACATGCAAATTTCTCTAACAAATTGTTTGTTATTTTTCTTAACTCTTCGTTGGTTTTAATACATATTCTATAGTTTTTTTTATTTACTAATTCCTGAGTAAATGATCCTAAGACAAAAATCACAAACTATTTCCAACAATTTTGGTTTTTTTTTTTTAATATTATATTACATATTCTTTCAATGACATATACTTTACTTAAAAAAAAACAATCCTAAGCAAGTTTAAAAATACAAATTTGCGTCAGGTATTTCTCATTTCTTTGGATCTTATATCCGTTTAGATAAGTCCGTAGATTTTGTAGGAAACAATCGGAAACAAAACATAAAAAACTTATATATAGTTATTTTTCTTTTCTTTGGTTAGTCTCAGATAGATCTATCTATAATAACTATAAAGGATTTGCCTAGGAGAAAAAAGAAAGCTGCAAATTATCAATTTTGGAACGCTTTTTTCGTTCCTGAGGTAATATTTTTGATGGCTTATTACTGTTATTCCACATGGCTTTGCCGTTATGCATAATCGCTCGCAACTAGATCGGGGATCTTTCCCAACAATTCACAAAAATTGTGTACAAAAAAAAACCCCCCAAAAAAAAAAAAACAAACAAAACAAAACAAGACAAAAACAAGAAAACAATTAATATTAAAAGAGATTGTTTTGTAAACCAAAAAGTTGAACATAGATACTTTTGCTTTGCAAAATTACAAGACTCGCGACTAAAACTACAGACATAACATTACTTATTACTTATTTTGATTTCGAATTGTTACTTTAAGCAACTAACTGGTAAATTTACCATGCGTCTTGCGCAACAATCCCCGTGTCGAATCAAAGATCAGCTAAATGGTAAATGGTAACGGGCATTTGGTTTTGCAATACAAAATACATAGATACAAAATATAACCGTGTTTTTCCTCTCCCTTTTTTAGTGTGTCTTTCGCGAGTAAAGACTTTCGTTTTCAGCTGGGTACATTAACGGTTCCCATTATCAACTCCGAGTGTGCTTGTCGCACTGATATTTATGGACAGTGGAAACATATTCCTCCTTGATTATGCTCACAACTTTCATTAGTATGACATGTTATTTTTTTATCATAAACGGAAACTAGATTCAAAGACATTTGCATATACACATACATATGTATGTACATAAATAACCGATTGAATTCAAGATTTGCATTCATGGCTATTTATTGAATTTATCATATTTTAATAAATCTCCCACTGCTGAAAGTTTCAGCTTTGCGTAGAAATCGCATTTTAACTTATCGCAGAAGACATTTGATCCATTTTGCATCGCTATGCAAACACTTGCAATTGTAATCGTTTTTCATGTACAAACTTGTTTGGGCAACACTGAGCGCCATCGAGAGCGAGAGCAGAAGAGAGTAAAACTGAGAGCAACTCTATGACAGCTGACAGTGGGAGACTGTGATTGGGGCATGTTTGGTAGTGCGTTCATTTACATTGACAAAAAGGCTTGGCAGGGGGGATGTGCTGCAGAGGCAAGCTTTTGTGTGAGTGTGAGTGTGAGTGTGTTTGTTTGTTACGTCACAGTGCGCGCTACATTCGAGTTGCGAGACAATTGCAAATATTGCACGATGCGATCGAAATTGATCACAAAGCAAAAAAGATTTAAATATCAAACACATACAGACGCACGTGACGACTGTTATGCGTGTCTGTCCGTGGTCCGTGTGGATGCGTATATGTAACTGTTAAATAGCAAATCGACTGATTAACGAGCGAGGCAGCAGCGCCCACTGATAAACGGGCCTCGCACGTTCTTTTATTTATTGATAAGTATGGTATTAAAAGCAACTACAGCAACAATTACATTGTGTTATTGTATATACATATACATATACTATATATATATAAATACTTCTACTTACTGCACTATACTTGACTGCTGCGCCAGCAATTGCGAATACAAATACGAACAAGAATAAGCCGGTATATAAAAAAAAACTCAAGGGAATGTGCAAAGCTGAAACAGAAATCGGTAATAAATAAACGATACAGGCTTTTTTTTTTTTTTTTGGAAGTGTAATCACTGTTTAAATATGCCTACACACACACACACACACGCACATGCACACAGAAACCCGGTAAGTCATATTTATCGTAGTTGCGTTGCCAGACAGATTATCGCTTGGCGTTTTCGCATGCCGTGCTTGCAACCTCAGAGAGATGCACAATCAGAACAGCTGTTCATAACGGCATAATTGAACAATAAAAAGCAACAACACAACGACGACGGCGGCGACGACGACAACGACGATTGTTTGCAGGTGGTCTCATCATGAGCATAACAATAATGCCAATGTTTACTGCACTTTGTTCGCTTAACACTCAACATAATAAGATAAAGGAAAGAAAAATGTAAAATTTATAGAAAAACCGCACTGTCAACGTTATTTAATCACATATCAAACACATTTCAATTTCGCTGTGTGTGCTTAGCTGGCCTATGCACAACTTTGTTGCATTATCGGACCGTAATTGACTTATTGTTTATTTGAAAATAATGCATTATTTACTTCTTTTTTCCGTACTGATATTAAACAAAAACAACCAAAATGCGCACGTCCGCCCGCAGACAACTTGTTCGCACGAATAAAATACCACCTCCTTCATGGCACCATCGTTGACAACGATTGCTGAGCTTTTCGTCTCGCAAACCGATTGTTTGCTATCGATTTATTTATTTATTTACATATTTTTATCGGATACGGAAATGCGCGTTTCGCAAATAAAGTACTTACCGAAGATCGCGTTATGACCGAAATTTAAAATTTTTTTTAATGTATTGACAAATGTAGCACAACAACATTATATCATAGCAATGGCAAAAAGCATTAAATATTTAAAACAGCTGTTTTGTATGTGCACAGATGTTTAATGTTTTGTATACAGTGTGTACACACTGCTCACCCATTAGCCGCTACAGTGTGTACCCAACAGATTTAGTCTAAGAACTATTTATGCGCAGTAAATAGCGAGAAGGAAACGTTGTTTATTAAACAAGGTGTGTAAATAATTGAATTGTTGCTCAATTCTTGCTCTAACTGTTATTTTAACGCCTAGGCAAATTGGAAGTGCCGCTCAGACATTTAGTTGCTGCACACCCCAGGAAAGTGGTCAAAACAAATACCACGTGCAGCCGAGACAGTTGCAAGCAAGACAGATTCTCAAATCTTTATTTTTGTTGTTGTCAATTTAATTAGAAAAAAAAAGCCTCAAGATGGGTATGGTACAAAAGCGCAAGAAGATGCACTATGGCGACACGCATCTGCAGCGTCGCTGGCGTGTACGCAACCGTCGCAGGGATCTGGACCAAATCGATGACGACATGCGCACACGCAGCGGCGAGCTAATTAATCAGAATGTGGATCTGGAAAAGCCGGGCTTCGCGCAGTTCTACTGCGTCCACTGTGCCAAGTACTTCATCGACGACAGATCGTTGCAGGCGCATTTTCGCACCAAGGTGCACAAGCGCCGCCTAAAGGCGCTCGAAACGGAGCCATACAGCATCGAGGAGTCGGAGCGTGCGGCCGGCCGCGGCAGCTTCAAGACGCCCAAGAAGCGCCTCATCGAGACGCAGCCAAGCAAAGACGAGGCCAAGGCTGGCAAACGCATCAAAGTTGAGGAGAAGACCGAAGATAGCAAGCCCATGGAAGAGGATGCGCCCACAACATCCGCAAAGCTGACACGAAAGAAAGCTAAGAAAATGGCAGCTTGAATTGAAATGCGATTCAAATTTAGACTCTTTGTGGATTTTCTTTAGCTCGATAAACCAATATATATATATAGTTTTTATATGTATGTAAACCTTTCCAAATCTAAAAAGTTCATGTTAATAGGCATGAATACATGAATACTTATGTAAATCGTAAATGATAAAAGAATGTAAAATATATATACGAATGTTACATTAATCAAATATCCTGTATTGCCTTTATATGTACAAATAGTACAATTAGGCATCTGATCTGACTTTTGATAATCGCATATATTATTATATATATAGATATATTCCCCGAGTGCATCTCGAGCCTTGACAGCGATCTGATGTTTCACTATATTCCCTAAAATTAAATTCGGATAGTTTTATAGGCATCAGACTATTATATCATATAGCTGCACTTAGGATCGAAAAGGTTTCGGTGCCAGAGATTAGTTTAGTTTGCGTAAGGCAATATAAATACCATATTCTCTTTGACTATATATTTAATTTGTACAAATCGATTGATTTCCAAAATCCAATTTGATGATGTCTTTTTGAAAAATGCCTTAGTTGAGACTAAATTGTATTACTGAAAGAGATCCCACTGATCCCAGCTGAAAAGCGACCACTGTGTTCTAAATTGATAAGCCTTATCCTTACATTAATGCTTTCCTTAATCCATGATGTTTTGTCCAAGCATAAAACCAGAAAACAATTCTATTTCTTTTCTTTCAAATTGAATGGTATAAATATATTATTTTGTATATAGATACGAATCAATTAACTCGACGCACACATGAATTCCTTATGCACATATAAATCTATACATACACTTAAAATTATTCGAACTACGTAACATATACATTTGTTTTTATAACAAACAGAACTTGCTGTCGTTTTTTTTAAGTACTATATATATTTAGTTTTATACTATTTGGTTGTCAAGTTATCTGCATTTATTCTCAATGTTTATTTGGTATGATTACAAAAAAAAAAAAAAAAAAAACAGTTTTTTTTAGATTTGTTTTTTTGTATAAATATGTGTATAAATTTAATGTATGTATTTTTTTTGGTGTACATAAAATGGGTTATCGAAAACCAAACGGATTTGATTCAGATTTTGAGTATAAGAACGAGCGCTCAAAACAATGCTGAGGTATATGATCTTTGTTTTGTTTTTTTTTTGTGGTTTTTCTATAAATATTTCTCTTTTTTTTTTGTATTTTTTTTAATTTTTTTTAAGTATTTTCAACCGGGAGCGGCAATTTGAGTTTTAGATGTCCCTTTACTTTGTGATCCTCTCTCGTAATTCTCTTTGTAAAGATATGCATGGAACTATGTTGGATGATAACTGGGCAGTGCGCGGGTGTGTCTGTGTGTGTGTGTGTGTGTGAGTATGTCTGGGTGTGTTCGTGTGCGTGTGTGTGTTAAGGATGTGCGTATGTATGTACAGGCACGATTGTGTGTGTGTGTGTGTGTTTGTAATTACATATATACTATGCTCGGCACTGGCAAAAAAAAAATTTATATGTATATATATATATAGTATATATGCTAAGCTCTAGAGGTTATCAAAGGGTTTTCGACTAGTTTTCACAGTTTGTTTAGAGTTTGTTGCGGCTGCTCAGCGATTGGTGAAGCAGCTCCCGCTCCCGCTCCCGCTTCAGCTGCAGCTGCAGCTTTGGTGGCGCGCCTGCGCGTCATTTGCTTGGGCGCCTCGGTGCGCAGCTTGGCGGCAACAGCGGGCACAGCGGGCACGGCTGCCGCTGCCGTTGACGTTGCCGTTGACGTTGCCGTTGCCGCCTGTTCCGTAAAGAAGGGATGATTGAGCGCCTGTTCGGCGGTGATGCGCTTGAGCGGATTGATTTCGAGCAGGCGGCTGAGCAGATCGTAGGCGCTGGCCGGGAAACATTCGTACGGATCGAGCGGCTCGGTCACATAGGGGCTCTCCTCACAGAGGCAATTAAAGAAATATTGATCACAGTTCTTGCAGACATCGATCCGGCCGTCGGCAGATTCGTGCTTGCGCACCATCTGCTGGTCACTAAAGATGAGCCGATGCCGGAAGCGCAGGCACAGCTTGCGCAAATTGAGCGGCTTCGAGCGCTGGCTAAGCGTCACCATGCGCTCGAGGGCCAAGGCCGTTTTGCGTATGGCTCGATCACCAAATATGGTTACGATCTCGGCCAGAGCGACAAAATCGTTTGGCGCCTTAAAGAACGGATAGACGGACGATAGTATCGATAAGAAGATGACGCCCGCTGCCCATATATCCACGGCGGTTGTCTGATCCGCATACTTGAGCAGCACCTCCGGCGGCCGATAGCCGGGCGTGCCCGCTCGCGAGGCATGCACCTCCTTCTTCATAAGGCAATTGATGCAAACGGACGGATTCGCAAAGCAATAGCATTTCGCATTGTTGTTGTTGTTGTTGTTGCTGTTGCTGTTGCTGCCACCGCCGCCAGCGGTGCGATTTGTGTTGTACTTGCTGCTGCTGGTCGCCGAATCCGGCTGCACGGACTGTGCCAGTGCCGGTGGCGGCGCCTGTGACTGAGCCGCTGCCAAATGCTGTGCGTCCGGCGCCGTCTCTGCGAGACTCTGTTTGGCCTCGCTCTTGGCGCCGTGGGCTATCTCATTGACCGGCTTGAGCGGCATCTTGTTCCAGTTGCTGGCATTTGTATCATCGTTGAGCCGCATGCGCTTAACCGCGCCCCCAAGTGCCGCCTCCGACGGAGTTGCTGGCGCCGGCGACGGCGGCTGCTGCTGCTGTTGCTGCTGTCCGGACGCGTCGCGTGGACGCTTGATGTTCGCCACAAGCTGCTGCTGATGCTGCTGCTGCTGCTGATGCTGATGCTGCTGCGAGGCAGCTAGGCTGGTTGCCCCGCCGCTTAGATTCACATGCTGCGCCAGCCCAAAGTCCACGAGCAGAAACTGGCCCTGTCGTCGATTGTACAGAAAGTTGCTGGGCTTCACATCGCGATGAATAATGTTGAACTTGTGGACATGCCGCAGGGCCAGCAGCAGATTACGCATATACAAACGGATCTCCGGCACATCCATCTTGGTATAGAAATCGTGGAAACGATCGTGCGGCATATAGGGCATCACAAATGCCGCCGAGGCCTCGCAGCGCAAACAGCAGTGGATGCCCACAACGTTGTCGGTGCCCCTGGAGAATGGAAGAGAGAAGCAAAGCAGAGAAGAGATAACAATTTGGTGGAATAATTGCGAGGGGAGGCGCGATAAGCAATAACAAGCATGTCCCTGGTCTTAGACTTTTCTGGTTAAGTTTCAAAGAATCATTTTGCAAAATCGATTTTTATCGATTTTATAAAAACAGTTGGAAATATCGACAAACAATTTTAAGCTCGATTTTTGTAGAGTGCTCTGGTCTTTGACTTTCTGGTTAAGTTTCAAAGAACTATATGCAAAATCGATTTTTATCGATTTTATAAAAACAGTTGGAAATATCGACAAACAATTTTAAGCTCGATTTTTTTAGAGTGCTCTGGTCTTAGACTTTTCTGGTTAAGTTTCAAAGAACTATTTGCAAAATCGATTTTTATCGATTTAATAAAAACAGTTGGAAACATCGACAAACAATTGTAAGATCGATTTTTGTAGAGTGCTCTGGTCTTTGACTTTTCTGGTTAAGTTTCAGAGAACTATTTGCAAAATCGATTTTTATCGATTTTATATCGACAAACATTTATAAGCTCGCGATACACGAGATAATATATATTTCAAATATCAATTATCTAGCATTTAATGTTTCCAAATCTTACACCTGATTTTTTGGTTGCCGAAACCGAAACCAAGTACTTTCATTTTTCTTTTGGTATTTTGGAAATATGTGAACATAACTTTAGAGCCCTACGATAGTTCCAGTACTCAAAATAACAATTAAATGTTGTTAAAACAAAATATCTTAGGCTTATAAAAGAAATTGTTTTATTTGAAATTGTATAAGGAGAATATGACGAACAAAGGTTCGCACCAAAACCTGAGCACATGTATATGTACAAAGGTATAGAAAACCAGATTTACGAATTGAACCATAGGAACTGACATTAGTTCGAATCGAAATCCGAATCACCTTAATTATGCCTAAGTAGTAATAGAAGTATCAGGTTTGAATCAAATACTATCTTGAAAAACAATAAGTTGTTCAAGAATAGATATTGTACATATCGAACTAAGGGTTTTGGGCCTTATTCACTTCCTAAAAAAAAAAAAAAAAAACTATGGTAAGGGTACAAAAAAGTCTGTATGCAAGGCCGTAGATCTTTACACTACAAAATTCAAGCTATGAATCGGAAAAGCGTGCAAAATAATCCCCCGAGCACAATAAGGGTTAAAAGAATGAACACATCTACGGTTAAATTTCTTGCTAATGTGAGAATCGCATTATTAATAACATTAGCAGCTCCATAAATCGGTGCTGTGCGCATTTATTAATGATAAATATACACAACGAAAAGGGGAACTTGAGATGAGCTCATTTGGTCTCCCATTTGGTTCAAGCCGTGCAGCGTAAGAGGTCGCCCACGTCGGTGGGTCGGTCGGTGGGTGGGTGGGTGGGTCCGGCGGTCAGTGGGTTGCCCGGTCTACCGACGTCACAGCGATGATTATTCGCCGGGCATTGCGCACGACCCAATCCCCGTCTTCCAATCATAATTATCAGCCCTGTGACGCAATTGGGCAACGGAATTTGCGCAAATTGAACGAATAGGGATAGATATATACATACAGGGACAGATACAAGAGAGAGAGAGAGAGAGGCATCAGTCCAGTCCATGTCTGGCCGGCCGGCCGGCCGGTTGTCTGGCTAGCCCCCCCGTGCAGCCAGCCAGCCACCCATCCAGACGGCCCACGCAGAGAGTGTCGTATGCTCTCAAATATTTTAGCTCTCTCTCTCTCTCTCTCTCTCCCTCTTTCGCGAGCTCGTTGGCCATAAATAATGCAAGAACCCTAGCGGAACTCAGGCTGGTTGCCATTTAGGCACATTTTGGCGATAACCTTGCCCAAGGTAGTTCAAAGCGGAATTGAACGGTTTTTGTTTTCTACGTCATCGCACAGTGACATATGCACACACACGCACACATGTACAAGTATAAATAACATATTATGTATGTATTGCTTATCTAATCTCGCTAAGCAGCACGAGATTATCGATAGTACGCAAACGCAAAATGGTGTAATCGATACTTATTGGAAGGCGGTGGAAGGATATGCAAAATGCGTCAAGTCCAAATTGCCCACTTGGCAAAGCTCTTAAGCCACAATCTTAATGTGTGTGTGTGTGTGTGTGTGTGTGTGTGTGTGTGTACGTACATGCATATAAATAAGTGTGTTTACGTCTGCATATGAGCACCGACTAATATATGCATGTAAGTGTGCTCATGAAATTTATTTGCCTGATTTGTAAACAAATATTACATGAGAAGCAGTTCGCACATGAGAGCGAGTGAGAGCGGCAATGGTGTAACTAAGAAGGTGGCACGTGAATGGTGTGTGAAAGTGCAATAAACGTCGGAGCAATCGATGACAACGACAACTTAAATAAATTGCAATGACGTATGTAAGATACGTATGGAAGATACGTCTGCTGCGAGCGGCTGACGTCGTTCGTGACGCTCTCAATGGAAATGCGGGACAGCCAACGAACATTCAGAAATTATTAACGCTTTGTTTGGCATTTGAATTAGCATTCTAAATATGATATTAGACATACCCCATTTCTGTCATGCATTGCAGCTCCTTCATAATGCGATCGGGATGGCTGGTGGGTATATGATGTTTGATTGCAAACTTGCGCCGCATGCTGTCCGGCAGCTGTGCCTCCCGCTTGAGCGTCGCCAGCAGCACAGTGCTGAATGTACCGTTACCAATGCGGCTCTGTACATCGAATATTTGTGCAATGTCGGGTATGCGCAGCAGCAGATCGTTGATAGCCTCTGCAAGTTGGGCAATTGTCGGTTATTAATTAGAAAATGGCGGTTTAATCAAATCTGGCAGCACTCTCTCCACCTCTCTCTTTCTCTCGCTTACACACTCAGCAAGCACGAGTTATGCATAAAAATAGATTTGAAATGACACACACACACAGACAGACAGTCACACACACATACATGTACGCATACAATATTCAGTGCTGCCATGGAAATCAAGAAAAAACGCACACAAAATTAAAAATTAAGATGGTTGCCTACCGTCACTTTTGTTGCGTGGCTTCGTCCTGTAAGTGGCCGCAATCGTTGCATATTGTTCGGCGATTGCCAACACTGACGATGGATGCTTCTGCAGCTTCATAACATTGTTGCTCTGTTTGTTATTTATGATTATTGTTGTTGTTGTTGTTGCGTTTGCTGCTGCTGCGGCTGCGGCTGCTGCCTCTACGCGGGCGCGTGCAGCTGAAATCGCTGCAGTTGTTGCCTGCACCGTCTGCTCGTCCTGACGTGGCCAGGAGTGCATTCCTCTGCTCGGCTGCACATTGACTCTGATATTCCGAAATGCGGCTGCCAACTTTGAACTAGAATTGCCATCGGCGGCGGCGGCGGCGACTCCTGTTGTTATTGTATTTGTAGGCAGCTGCTGCGGTTTGTTGTTGCTGTTGTTGTGGTTCACACTTTGAGCGTTTGCCTTGATTTGGGCAGCTGGTGCAGCCGCCGCGACCGTGTTATTGTCGCAGCGGCCGTTGCCAGAATAGATGCGCTTTTCCATTGTTCAGGCGTTGTTGTTGTTGTTGTTGATGGTTTAATCAGGAGCAGCATCTGCCTGAGCTGGCTTATGGGGCAGAGTATGAAGTTCAAGTAAATTGGCCACACTTTACAAATCACGCACGGTACTTTTAATTTTTATTGTGCTAGCCGTTTTTTTTTTCAAATTTTTTTTTATATTTTTTTTTGTATTGCCGCCCTCTTGTTTCTGGGTGGAATGGCTGTTTTGGTTCTATAAATACATGGAAAATTTGGCCGAAACTTGCGAATATATTTGATCGGTTGAATTTAGCTGATAAAATTTTGTATTTTTGTTATTATTTCATCCAAACGAGACTGTCGAGCGCTGTAATATAACTGGCACACAGGCCGCTACGTTTTGCTTCTCACAGCAATGCCAAAATTCGAGCCGCTTACTTTTTTTACTCGCCTCCGATTCTGTTTGCTTGGCTCTGTCTCTGGTATTGGTACTGCTACTGCTGCTGCCGCTGCCGCTGCATCTGCCGCTCCCGCTGTCACTCGCCTGTGTAGAGCGAAAGACGCACGATTTTTGGCGAATATCAGCGGGACTTGTTCACTTGCCTCTCGAACTTTCCGTTTTATTTAATTAAATGCGACCATAGAGCAAGTTACTTACTCTATGCCTGACAGGCCATTACAATTATTTGACAATTCAACAGCGATAAACGCCGAGCAGCTGATTTCAGTGTTGATAACGCTGGCATATCGCTTGACCGCAGCATTGCCTATCGATAATTGTTCGTTTAAAGTGCGCCACAATTCAAATTTTGCAATACAATTACAATCGATACACTTTATAATAAGTTGACACTAAACTAGGACTATAAAAAGCAAATCGACATTAGAGAGACATCGCAAATACTTACAAATATGGACTAAAACATAAAAGTACAATAATGCAATTATGGGATATGGTTAAAAATAGAAACGTATTGCGAACTTTTGAAAACGCCAGCGTAAACACTAAATGAATACAATACAAATAATGAGAGAAAAAAAAAATGCAAATTAACGCAAATTATGCGAACGCGTGGAATCGTTGGACAACAGCGGAATGCCCACCGTATATGTGGCATTGCTGGCATCCATCTGATTGGGATCATCACAGCGTGCACACGGTCCAAACAGACGCAGCATACGGGCAGCAAGGGACCTCTTCCTTTGGCCAATATGTGTATGGGCCCTGTACTGCTGCATACTGAACTGGCTGGTGCTTGAGCTGCTGTTATTATTGATATTGCCATTGTCTGGCTCGTGTGTATTCAATGGCACTAGCTCAATCACGCGATTGCTGGTTTTCTCAAAGTAAATGATGCCCTCGCGCTGGCCCCAATTTAGCATGGGCGCGAAATTGATGGCCTGATGTCCGAACTTTGGTTGCGGTGAACGCAGCTCGTGACCCTCAATTTCAATGGCCGAATCATTGCTGCTGGGATGGCTGCTGCCCGAATTGTTAGTAGTGGCGCGGTTGGAGCTAGTTGCCTGCAAGTTGCCATTAACGTCCTCCCCAGCTGTAATTAAAAAGTGAGCGACTTTAATTTCATCTATGACCGATGTATGCCCCTTAAGCAATACCTATTGCGTGTCCATGGGCATCCACATCGGCGCTATCGTTGCTAAAGTTGAGGGAGAGCGGCTTTATAAGGCCGCTCTTCTTCAGCGATTTGGTCAGCTTTGGCTGGCGAATCGCGGGCGGCACGCTAAGCAGCGGTATTTCAATGGAGCCCGCGCTGCTGTCGTATGTTAGTTCATGTAGATTCGCATTCGGATGCGGCGTTGCATTGGCCGCTATATCGGGCATATCGGATAGATCGGACAAATTGGATATGTGCGCCGTAATCATTGGCAGATCTGTTTGTGTGGCCTTTGTCATGCGCACATTGGGCAAGGAGTGGCAATGCATCTGGGAGCGAACCGAGTGGCCACTACCAAATGCATTTCCACCACCACAAACGGCCAAGGCAGTTTGGCGCTTCAACTTGTCCTTGCAATCGGTTAACTCGGTGCGTATAATTTCAAAGTTGTTCCTTAAGACAATGTTGGCGTCGATTCTCTCGTAGAGCTGCTTCTCCAACATCTTGTTGTGCCACTGCAGGCTTTCCTTTTCGTTGATGAGCCGCTCGTAGCTCTCGTCGCGCAAATGCTGGTCCGTGCCGCTGCTGTTTGTCAGTGACTCATCCAGCTTCTGCTGATCCTCAGCACCGCCACGTGGCGTCAGCGATTCTGGCATGGAACGATGCCGTTGAAATGTGCCCGCCGTGTTGCGTCGCTGCTTCTCCTGGTCGTTAATGTCCGCAATGTATTTGCTCACTTTGCTGGTGACATGCTTGTAGCGACGTTTCGTATACGCCGAATGGATATCCTGATAGGAAACCGCTTTGCTGCTGCGTCCACTTCCCAGCTGTATGTGCGTGTCGGCGTGGTGGCCTTTATTGCTCGCCGCATTGTCTGGCAATAAGACCAAGTCAATTAAAGTGGCAATTGAGTGTGAGCTCTTACTCACCATGCTTGGGCTGGTTATGATCGTGCTCCAGGCCAACTGGATCGCTGGCGCAGGTCTTCTCCGAGCAGTCGCTGTTCAAAAATGGCGACGGATGGCGCTCAAAGTTATCGGGGTCATCGAGATCCAAAGCATACTGTCGCTGATAGCTGAGACTTGTGCCCTGGCTAGCCGCTGTCGCGTTTAGCTTATCGAACAGATCGTCGGCGGGAAAGCTTTCATCCTGCAAACTCATTTTTCAAGACACAAATTTCGCACATGAAATATTGTTGAGGATTGCAAAATTGGAATAGCACCGTTACGATACAGCATTGCCAACAATAAGGAAATCTAACTGGTTCCGCTCATTCAATTTCTCAATCGATGCGAGTTCTTTTCCAGTATTTTTGTGCAATATCGATACCAGATATCGATATGTTTAAACGACCCATCCATAAGCCGGCGTGGCGTCACTATTGCTCGAAGTTTCTACGAATCATTTACACATTTCTGACAAACTATAATTTTTTACTTACTCTAGCAAAATGCCCCTAGAACAGGTGAGTGCCAGTGACATGTATTCACAGACTTATATAATTTGAACACGTGCTTATCGCAATACAGCTGAAGGCCGATGTCGCCGAGTGCGCCGCATTGCTGGAGCACGCGAAAAGTGCGCGTGTTAAAGGCGCGCTAACCCAGGCCAAAGCCGAGGCCGAGCGCGAAATTATTAATTTGGAGATAAAAGCACGCCTGGCGGCTGAGCGGCAAGCTGGCGCAGATTCCAAGCGGTAAGTTCTCGCTCGACATACATATGTATGTTTCGATTTTTGCCATTTAATAAATTCTCATGCACAGCAGATATCTGCATGAGCTGACGGACTACGGCTGGGATCAGAGCTCCAAATTTGTCAAATTGTTTATAACGCTGGCCGGCGTACAGAACTGCACCGAGGAGGCGGTCACCGTAAACTACACGGACCACTCCCTGCAGCTGCACGTGAGCGATCTCAATGGCAAAGACTTTGGTCTGACCGTCAACAACCTGCTCTATGCCATCGACATTGAGAAGAGTTACCGCAAGCTGAAAACGGACATGGTTGCGATATATCTGAAAAAGGTCGAGGAGGGCCAGAGCTGGGACGTGCTGACGTCCATACAGAAGCGACTAAAGCAGAAGCAGGACAACGAATTGGCCAAAGAAAGCGAGAATCCCGAGGGTGCTTTGGTCAACATCATGAAGAAAATGTACAACAGCGGCGATTCAAAAACAAAGCAAATGATTGCGAAAGCTTGGACCGAGAGCCAGGATAAGGCCCGCTTCGGATCGGAGGTTGGCGGTCTCGGCAATCTCGGCGATATATAATTAGTATTTAGTTTAAAATGAGCCTAACAACGAAATACAGCATATAAAATATATATTTGATACTCCATACACATGCTTAAGCTTTTCATGCATGAACAAAGTGCGCATTAAGATATTCCAAATAAATCGAGGTGGGCATGCAAAATCTGTTTCTCTGTTCCTTTCAGTCGATCAGTGATGCATTCGCCTATCGATAAAAATGCAGCAATGCGCTGTATCCTAACGAAAGATCGCTGCTATGGCACTCCATAACGCATATTTGAATATATTGTTGAGCGAAAAGTTTCCCTCGATAGGACTCGAACTCGCAACAGACCAGGCTACTTGCCGCCTCCTCTACCCAACAGACAAACAAAAAGCTGATGATAACGGAAAAAAG